TCAACACTGTCAATGCTGGACATCAGTTTGAAGGGTTCGTAGCTTTGGTCACATATTTTGGTTTTCACAATATAAACTATATGAGAAATCCTGTTTGGCCTTAAACGTTTCTATGGCGAGCCAGAAGTGCCACTAAAAAGCAACACCACAACCCACTGGGAGCGTGTGATTGACAGCTCTGAGGGAAAAGAGAAGCGCCGGAAAGTCCACTTCAGCTCCAAGTTTAAAGCAAGATATCGCGCTACATTACTCCCATTTCTCTTTTTTATCTGCAGATTTTGGTCCTGTTTTGAGCAAAAAAGTCCTTCTGAGGTATCGATACATGACGAAGTAACTTTTTCAATTCCTTAAAAATGCATAAATGCAGCACAGAGACAAAAGTATCAAAATAGAACTAGCTAAAGATAAATATACAAACGGTCGTCACCTAAACCACTGATCTAACGTTTCATCTTTTCATTTTTTCAGCAATAATACATTTTAAAAAATCAGCGTTCCAGACGTTTCATGATGAACCGATAAAAATGGAAAGAAAACTATTATTATTATTAAAAACCATGATACCTGCAGCACGTAAAATGATAAATACAAACACGTAAGCAACAGTAGAAGAGCGGAGAGCTTTACAACGCTGCGGAAAAGAAACACAAAATAATAAAAATCAACCCTAAACACAATCAAATGCCCTGGAAAGAGAAGTCAAGCATAATATACAAGAATACATTATGAGGGAAACAAAATGGCCGCCCACGGGGTACAGCTATAGTTCTATGCAGCAGTTTCTCCGGGTTCAGAACGGTTTTGGGTCAAATGCAAGAGAGTGAAAGAGCCTCGTACGGCGGGAAGAAGCAAAGGGGCGGAGCTCTGTTTGAGTCTTTGGATATTTGAATAAAAGTCAGAGCTGGTGTCACCCCCTCTAGTGGTCAGTTAGTGTGAAGCACAAGGCCCAGAGTACAGGAGTATTTTTGTGAAGAGGTTTCGCCCGCTAACTAACAGCATAGTGGTTCAAATCCTCTGGTAAAACACAACACCCAACTGCTCGAGATGTGATGGAGACATGCTTCTTATTCCGGAAGTTGCCACGATCGCCGCCATGTTGTATACGTTTGCGTTGGGTTGACGGTCTTCATGATAAAGACTAAAGTTGTTTTTAATGGAAACGAATGTGGTTTCCATGTACGCAAAAAGTCCCATTAAAAAGTAAACTTATCAGCGGCCGGATTAAGGTGAATAGAAAAGCTTGAATATGGAATTGTTTTTTACTTTTCCCAAAATGCTGATGTTAGAACTTGGATTTTTACAGTTTTCCCGCATTCTAAACAATGAATTTAGTGAGTCAACAATGTTTTGAACCAGGGGATCACATGTCACAAGTACCCGTAGTGTAAACAGGGTCTTAATATTCTTCCCGCCTCTTGAGAGACGCTCATTCGTGGTCAAAGGAGAGGTAGACTTTTCACTTTGTATATTTGGGCTCGAGTCCAGATCGGCGTTTAAAATATCAGCCTTACAGCAACAAGAATTTTGGCATTTGATATTCATATTATAAGAATGGTGAAAGAAGCAAAAAATATGTCGCAGTTCGGTCTCCCATTGGCTATTATGGAACTGTCTTTGTAAAGGAGGTAGTGTTATTTTTTTTTGGTTTTTCAAGATGTCAGCCAACCACTTCTTGTATAAAGTTCTGTTTTGACCATAAAACGATCCCAAACACGGTTAAATTAAACGATACAAGCGACAAATTTGAGTAAAATATCAAAGTTAAATGTATTTTCCCATTATTTTGAGATGGTCCCTCTTTCAACAGTGCTTTTGCTTGGCAGACCTCAAATGGCACAACTGGATTTTTACCACATTTTCAAGTGTTTTAAAGCTTAAGTTGTTTTTTGTAAATCTCTGCTTGGTAAAAACGTGGGATCCAGAGTGCGTCTAAAAATGGGTGGTTTCGTTTGTATGGATTAGGGTTAAATGCGAGTGCGGCGCTAAAGGACAAGTCAAGCTGTACATTTGCATGAATGTGACGCAAAATGTCTCAACGATTAAAAAATAAATATTACGCACTCTTCATCTTGGCTTCTAAAACATGATTTTGAGGACATTTACTTTGGCATTTCATGTTTTCGGACAAGAAATAATGTCTGTAGGAAAGGTATGTTTTAAAAAAATCAGCGGTAACACAATAGGCAAAACGAAACACCGCCATCTATTGGTGGTATTTGGAATTACAGTTTTAGGAAAGTGCGCAGTTGTCAGTAGCTTGGGTGGAACTAAAAACAACTCTAAGTGAGGGGATAATTTTATAATGTGTGTTCCCATTGGGGCGACGGTGGCTCAGTCGAGAGAGCGTCGATCTAGAGACAAAACTGACTCGATTTAAAGCTTTGTTTAAAAAAGATGTACTAAAGAAATACAAGGAGGAAAGAGAGTGATGCCCTCAGCACAGAGCGAGTGATAGCAGAGAGGGGTGGGGTCAGAGTGTTCGGGCCTGTGTGTGTGTGTGTGTGTGTGTGTGTGTGTGTGGGTGTGTGTGTGAATGTGCGTGTATGCGCATGGGTTGTTTTTAGTTGTTTTTTTCTATATATATATATATATATAAATTTTTTGCTGTATACCATTGGTGGTAGTATCGTATTGAAATTTTTGGCAAAATGTACAGTAGTATTCTTGTATACCATTGGTGGTAGTGTTGTATTGACAGTAGTACTTTGTAATGTGATTTTTGGATTATTTTGACGGGTGTTATGTGGGTGAGAGGGTTGGGCTAAAATAAGCATAGTGCTTCATCCAACCCCTTTTCAAACCTTGAACATATGTGTCTGAACATTTGTCAAATGTGTCTTCTGTGCAGGTTTTGAAATAAAATAAAGAAATAATTTTTTTTTAAAAAAATGGTCGTTGGTGAGGGTTCGTTCCCCCCATGAGACACTTACACCTGAATGAATGAATGAATGAATGTCTTTTACGTTACAATTTTCTTGTTAAATCAGAAATGCATTTTTTGACTTGTTCTTTAGAGCCAGCGTAGGAACACCTGTAAGTGCTTTGGTCATTTTGGGAAACACTATTTGGAATGGTGAGCGATGTTGCGAATATACTCATTTAGAAACTCCTGCTTTGTTGTCATTTGGCCAGTTCTTTCAAAATAAAGGGCATTTAAGTAAACTACAGGGTTTTTGGTTTTCTACACATTTCTTTGGTTAACCTGTAACAAAAAAAACAACAAACAAAAAACGGGAATACGTCTCGATAAACATAATATCAAATTTGGCATGGCACGGTAAAGAACGCTTTCTATGCTCACAGAAAACAAGCAGAAATGATAACTCTGTAGCACACACAGTGGATGGCAGGTCAAGTCTAGACAGTAACTAGCATAACCGTAGATAGAGCTAAGCAGAAGTTGCCCGATTTTGGTTCCCCACATCAAAAATCCCCCTTTTTATCAACGGATTTGGACACAGTTCAAGGTGGGAATCTTAGTGGGTTTGAGGTATTCTCTTGCTGCAGTAATACATTTGTTTGAATATATATATATATTTTTTAAAGCATTACAGATATTCCTCAAAGTAAATACAACAAGAAAAGTGTGTGAAAAAAAACAAGTTTAAATAATAATAAGAATCATGTTGTCTGGAAAATGGCAACCTTTTAAGTGCTAAGTCCAATTTTGTTTACTTGCTACACTCGTGGGACAATACTGCTTTTTCTTTCTTAAATTTTGGAATGGTGTGAACGAAAATAAATCAAAATACAATATCAGGAACATAAACAGCATGAAAAATATTGATCTTTGAGTAAAACAATACAGATATAAAAAAAATAAAACGGAAATGACAAAGCTACCACACATTTTTTCTCAATAAAGTTTTTTTCTTTTAGTCACGATAGATCCTTCCACCTCTTCTTCCTCAAAGCGATCCCAGTCGGATACAGCACCTCTTCTGTCCGTTTTGGAGTTATTTTTGGCGGGCATAGAGTCAAGTCTTTAGTCCTTTATCGGTGCCTTGAAGGAACGTCCCCGGCGCGAAAACTTTGCGTTGAACTGGGACCTGCGTCGGAGGTATATTTTTTCGAAAAAAAACGATATTGTCCAGTCTCCCAGCGTTTTGACTCGAAAGCAGAGATCACTGCTCCCAAATCTATGTACACGTCGGAGTGAGGGGTCCGTTAGACGTCTCGAAGACCACAAAGAGAAACGTTTTTCGTGTGCAAATGTGAGTGTGTGTGTGTGTTTGTGTGCGTTGAGTGGTTCTAACAAGTGCCAAGATATCAAAATGGAGGTAAAGCAGCGCTCCACCCTGTAGACTGTTCATCTTCTCGGTCGTTTGCTTGAAATAACAATACAAAACCTAAATAAAACATTCGTATTTTCTTGTCTTTTCGCTTTCGATGTGGTCAGTCTGTCGCCTCCCCGGAGCGGCGTAGAGAAGCGCGGTGAGCAGGTGAGTACGGAGGTTCGAGGAGCCGTGTGTGAAGAACGGCGGGGGTGGTTTTTTTTTTTGGTTGGAGAAATCGCGTAAGTGCTTCTGGGAACAGAGCGTCCATCGCAGTCTTCACAAAAAGTAGAAGATTTAAAAGGACTTGGATTCAGGATGTTCTGAGATTCATTTACTCCATGGACGCCGATAGTTTTACCTGCGCCAAGATTTTTCCGACAATTTCCAACGTCTGGTTTGTCATTGCAAGCGAGAATATTTAGCCAAAGGGGTAAGAAAAAGAAGAGATGCCACAGTGGCGATCTTTTAGTCTTGCGTTTTCGGAGTCAAATACAGTGGTCCGTCGCTATAACGCGGTACACCTTTCCCGGTTTGCCTGATTTAAGCAAAAAAGGCAAAAAACACGAAAATCTACATGAACAACCTGAATACAAGTCTTTTCAAGCTTTGACTAGAAACTACATTTTTGCAGCGCTGAGTGGTTCTGATCGTTGTGTTGGACTTTGTTGAAGAAGAGTGCTATGTCGCCTGGTGGGAGGGGTCCTTTTGCTTGTTATTGGGGCTCTACTCCAGCAGCTCCTCCGTGGGCATGTCCTCCTCCAGGTCCCTCTCGTCGCTGGGCAGGGGCAGGCTGTGTGAGACCCCGGTGAGCAGGGACATGGGTCTGCTGTCCTCCTCCAGATCGGTGGGCTCCTCCTTCACGTGCACCGGGTGGCTGAAAAGGAGCAGGGAATGAGTTTGGAATCTTACACTACGTTTATTAAATAGACTGTATAAACGTAGATGGACAATGCTAACCCGCTAGCTCAAAGAAGCCCAATAGGGAGGTGCTCATGGACTTGGTTTTGCTCTAACTCACTCTGTTAGTTGGAGCAAAACAATATTTTGGATATTGTCTTGGTATATAAGGATTGACCAATTAGTTTTTCCTTAGCAACCATCTAGGCAACACGTTTGTCCTTGTTCTGGCGCAAAGCTAAAGCCGCTGAAGAAATGTCCGGGATTCTCTGGCAATACGACCAGGCCAGAGTAAACCGTGAGGCATAGCTTTTTTTCTCACTTGATAACGCCGGGCAGTAGCAGTAGCATTATTAGTAGCAGTAGCAGTAGCAGTGGTAGTAGCAGCAGCAGTAGTAGCAGCAGCAGTAGTAGCAGTAGCAGTAGCAGTAGTAGCAGTAGCAGTAGTAGTAGTTGTAGTAGCAGTAGTAGTACCTGTACTGCTGAGGACTGAGGGTGGGGCTGCAGCTGCCGTTGCTGTGCACTTGTTCCACTGTGGAGCTGACGTCGTCGTGTCCCACATGCAGCATGTTGAGGCTGGGAGCAGACGGAGGAGACACCAGGGAGCTGCTCAGGAGAGACAGGCTGTTCTCAGCCGCCAGCGCCGCCTGCACACACACAATTCAATTTGAGTTATTTCTGTATAGCCTTAAATCACAACAGTAGTTACTGCGGATGACTTTACACATTCACCAAATTCAGAGAATCAAACAGTTCAAACACAGAGAGCCTTCGGTCCATAAGGGGCAGATGACCAATATCTGTAAAGGCCGTAGACTGTCGAGGGTCCAGGATCATCACTGTCCTTAGACCAGTGGTTCTAAACCTGGGTTCGGTCGAACCCTAGGGGTTCGGTGAGTCGGTCTCAGGGGTTCGGCAGAGCCTCCACCGCAGAGGTCCGGACACACCATGAATTCTCTAGTGATGGGAAAACAATCCCGACGCTCCGGAGCGTGTGAGGCTCTTCCTGAAGCAGACTGTGTTGGAGTGTGTATCCAAACAGCTGGTTACGTGACAAATGTTTCAGGGACACAGTCTTAACACACACTGTACATATCTATGTCTTAACACACCCTTAAATAAAAATCATGTTTTATTTTTCACTTGCGGGGTTCAGTGACTGCGCATATTAAACTGGTGAGGTTCGGTACCTCCAACAAGGTAAAGAACCTGACTTAGACCCTTAGGAACGATATAGAAACGCTCAGAATGACTCGGGCTTGAAATAGTGATACTTGAAAATGAACAAAATCTAGAAAGAATAAAGCAGCTTGCAGCAGTATTCTGACAATGTTCGAATCTAAAAGCTAAATATATTATGAATGTATTTAAATTATGTTTGTGCGGGAAGTATACAGGTTTTAAATGCAGCAGGTGTGTGGAAATAGACAAATAAAGTTATTTTCTCTCCGAGTAAAGGACTCTGGCTGATACCGTTCTCAGACAAGACACAGTGAGAGAGCCACAGTGGGGAAATTTCAGTGTTGTAGCGCACTTACAGGACAGTAGTAAGAGCACCAGGGAGCACACAAAAGAGAGGGGAGAGCTCGATGCAACAGGCTCAAAATAATAAATAATAAAAATATGGGTTTGTGTGACAGATTTTTGAAAACCTAATTGAGCCTTTTTGCTTTGGCGCAGCTCAAAATTCTTGACAAAACAGTGGAGTTTTTTGAAGATGATTTTACAAAGCGTCAAATTATCCGCTTTGGGAATTGCTTTGCTCATTTGGAAGTGATTCAAAAGGACTGTAAACCAGAAGCGTGTTATGAAATCCATTTGCGCTCTCGCTGTAATTGCCCTGAAAAGTGCAGCGTGAGCAGATGGTCGAGGCATTCGTCTTCTTTCACTGCTTTTATAAGGAAATGTGCTTTTATTTATATATTTTTATTCCTTTCAAATACCTTGCGCAGTGTGTCGATCTGGAAACGCTTTCAAATGTTCTTCAGATCTGCTGCGTTTTTTGTGTAATGGCGTAATGACAAGTTTGATCAGTAATTACAAGGCCCAAATCTACAGCGAGATGAGTTAAAGCTGGGGTACCTGACTTTTACTGACACCCGTATAATAAAACACATCTCACTATTCTCTGACTCTGAAACGGTTTTATCACTATTTTCTGACAAACTAAAAAAAATTATAAAAAAATAGGTAATAATTGCTTGAAATTATTGTTTTTTTAAATCTTAATTTGAGTAAATTCAGAATTAAAACCAGATTCTCCAATGGGACAAAGCCGTGTTATTTCAAGAACTGACATTTCTTGTAACTTTTTAAAACAAGATCATTTTGCTTTGTCCCATTGGAAAATCTAGTCAAATGTGCTCAAATTAAGATACATTTCAACATGAAAAACATGACAATCCATTCAATTTTAATTACATTTATTTTTGTACAGCCCTAAATCACCACAGCAGCCGCATTGAAGGACTTCCCCAATTTAGTCGATTCATCAACAACAGATAAAATCCAAAAGATAAAATGTTTTCTAGTAGAGAAAAAAATAGAATGACTATTTCTATAGGGAACAAAATAAATCTATTTTTAAGTGTATAGTAATATAATAATCTCCAAAACAGCGCTGTATAAAGCGTTGATGCATCCCAGTGCAAGAAGGGGCGCTACCGCAGGGCCTTTATCGCCACGGCTGTCAGACTGTACGACAAGTCACTTTAAGTCTAGGACTGAAAAAAGACAGAACAAAAAACCTACACTACTATTGCCACTGTTTCTTAATTGATACTTTTATTGTACATAATATATCCTGCATTTAACACGTTTGCACACTTCTTTCTTTGGACATTTTTTTTCTTCTTCTTGAGTGATTCTATCGGTGCCAGATGTGACATGTACATTTCTCCTGTGTGAGATCAATAAAGTATATCTTATCTATCCATATCTATAAACATCTCTATACATACCTGTATCTATTTATCTACAGGTGATGGAACAATCTTGTAATTTAAGCGCCACACCTCCATCATAATTATTGTATACACATGTTTTTTCTCTACTCATTCATATTTAGTAAGATATTGTATGAATCTATCCCCACTTTTTGAGGTGCAAAATTCCGATAATTAACGACTTGAGACAATTAATGGTAATATTATCTGCTCATAGTCGTATAAATGCAAAGTTACACCTGTTATTCTTCACTCACTTCACTTGTTGAGAGACGCAGCAGGCCACTAGAGGGCGCTTAGATACAGGCTATGACAGATTCAAAAGACAGTGGAAAGCTCTGTCCACATTTGTCTTCACTTTTCCTCATAAACATTCAGGTAAAAAATATAGTATATAAAAAAAAATGTCTTTATTCTATTTATTCAAACCAGCTGCAAATTTGTTCAAACCCCCCCTCGCAAAAACCAGACGCCAATGTCAGGCTTTTTGTCTCCCTGGCGGACGGGGGGTAAAAAACAAAGCCTGGCGTTTTGATTCTGGGACAGGCGATAATTTTATGCGCTAACCTTAATTGACAAGCTCGGGCTGCGATAAATCATGTAAAAAAAAAAAAAAAATTGCACTGGTGAAAGAGGAATGAGTGGAAAGACAGAGCGAAAAGGTGGAGGAGGAGGTGGAGAGAAAGGGGGGTCATTAGGGAATCTGCTAATTATAAAAGAGAATTGATATTAGTGCCCTTGATGGCGATTGGCTGAGAGAGAGAGAGAGAGAGAGAGAGAGAGAGAGAGAGAGAGAGAGAGAGAGAGAGAGAGAGAGAGAGAGAGAGAGAGAGAGAGAGAGAGAGAGAGAGAGTGAGAGAGAGAGAGAGAAATTGGTTTTTTTAACACATATTTTAAGCAGATTTGAAAAAGATTGGTTTATATAGATTTTAAACGTCCTTTGAATTACACTGTTTTATTTCTGATATAAAATCTAGGCCTAAATTAGTTGAATCTCCAACTCCCACAAGGGTTAAAAACATGCACCTATTTTCTTGCCATAGACTGTATACGGATGGACAATGCTAACCCGCTAGCTCAATGAGGCCCAATTGGGAAGTGCTCAAACTCATCGAAAAAGTAAACTCCTCTCGCTCAGTAACTCTCCATTTTGGGCTTAAATGTATGATTTTAAGCTCTGGTGTTTGGATATTGCCTGTGGGAATCCAGATATGAGGATTGACCAATCAGATGGCTTCGTTTGCAGGAAAAAACTCCTGCAAAAACCACACGTCTGCCCCTGTTTCCGTGCAAAGCTGACTCCGTGGGAACAAATGCCCATATAAGGAAAATGGCTCCAGCTAGCTTAAGTTCAAATTAGCTCCTCACAATTCGGGTAAACACTCTGCTCCTAATACAGTTGTTGTCAAGTAAAGTCACCAGACGTAATAACAACAACTGAAAACAAGGTGAATAGTTAGTAATCATCAAAACACACATTATTGCATGTTTTTGTGATTTCAAGCCGTGGCGAGAGGCTGTGTACCTGGTAGCTGGCGTTTAGAGAACCAAACCCTAGGCCGGAAATCATATTCTTCACCAGAGTGGGGCTTCTGTGGACAAAAGGGAAGAATACAGTACACATTATACACACATGTAGTAGCAGTAGTAGTAGTAGTAGTAGTGGTAGTTTAGTGTATTTTTGTGATTTCAATGATTGAACTAATGTGACTGCAATATGACTGTAATTGATTTAGTTAAATGGTGCTTTTTAAGAGATCCATCACACAATATAAAAAGCTGAAATAGTTGTTTTAGGGGTTCTAAAGTCGTGCTTGTGGATTTTCAGAATGTGGTAAAAGCAGTTTGATGTGAATCTACTCTTTCAATTGTACTCCGAAAATATCTTTGTATCTCTGTAAGTGATCCCTCTAAAAATAACAGCAACGTTTGTTTGAAGGCTGTAAATCTGGTCTCTCTCTGGTCTCTCTCTGGTCTCTCTCTGGTCTCTCTCTCTGGTCTCCCTCTCTAGTCTCTCTCTGGTCTCTCTCTGGTCTCTCTCTGGTCTCTCTCTGGTCTCTCTCTGGTCTCCCTCTCTGGTCTCTCTCTGGTCTCTCTCTGGTCTCTCTCTGGTCTCTCTCTGGTCTCTCTCTGGTCTCTCTCTGGTCTCTCTCTCTGGTCTCCCTCTCTAGTCTCTCTCTGGTCTCTCTCTGGTCTCTCTCTGGTCTCTCTCTGGTCTCTCTCTGGTCTCTCTCTGGTCTCTCTTTGGTCTCTCTCTGGTCTCTCTCTGGTCTCTCTCTGGTGTCTCTCTCTGGTCTCTCTCTGATCTCTCTCTGGTCTCTCTCTGGTCTCTCTCTGGTCTCTCTCTGGTCTCTCTCTGGTCTCTCTCTGGTCTCTCTCTGGTCTCCCTCTCTGGTCTCTCTCTGGTCTCTCTCTGGTCTCTCTCTGGTCTCTCTCTGGTCTCTCTCTGGTCTCTCTCTCTGGTCTCTCTCTCTGGTCTCCCTCTCTAGTCTCTCTCTGGTCTCTCTCTGGTCTCTCTCTGGTCTCCCTCTCTGGTCTCTCTCTGGTCTCTCTCTGGTCTCTCTCTGGTCTCTCTCTGGTGTCTCTCTCTGGTCTCTCTCTGATCTCTCTCTGGTCTCTCTCTGGTCTCTCTCTGGTCTCTCTCTGGTCTCTCTCTGGTCTCTCTCTGGTCTCTCTCTGGTCTCTCTCTGGTCTCTCTCTGGTCTCACTCTGGTGTCTCTCTCTGGTCTCTTTCTGGTCTCGGTTGGGTCTCTCTCTCTGGTCTCATTCTCTGGTCTCTATCTGGTCTGTCTCTTTCGTCACTCTTTTATGGTCTCTCTCCCTCTGGTCTCTCTTTTGTCTCTTTCTCTGGTCTCTCCTCTGAACTAATCACTGCGGTGCGCACAAGCCGCAAAACTTTTCTTAAATAAAGGTAATTGTCATATTATACCACACTGCACAAAAGTGATGACAAATATGTTAGAAATTGCTAAAAGTTGGCAAAATATATTTTATGTTTAGCACATTCTGATTGCCCTAAAACAAGATTTGCCAATGGGATGAAGAAAAATGATGTTGTTTTAAAAAGATACAAGAAATGTGTCCCTTGGAATGAGAAAATACAGCAACCGTTTTTGAATTAAGGCTAAATGGCTTTGTCCCATCGGAGAATCTTGTTTTAATACAGTCAGAATGTGCTCAAATTAAGATAAAAACCACTTGATTCAAGCAATTACGTATTACCTCATGTTTTATCATTTTTGGCAGTGTAATATTAGCTGTTGTTGGAGTATAAGTAATATATATCTGTATGAGAAGCACACTGTACAAAATGATGTCCGTACCCGGTCATCTTTGGTGGTCTCCTCTTCTGGTACTCGACCTCGTCCACGGTCCACACGGCACCTTTCACGTTCTCCACGCGCACAAAGCACTTGTGCAGGCTCAGGTTGTGACGCACGGCATTCTGGGTAAGAGGAAAACAAGGTGACGTTAGAGAGTGAGTTTCCCACACTACAAAGCACATTTGAAAACAAAGAAATGTGGACTTTTCTTCACTAGAAAAAATACAATAATCTAAGGTTAAGGAGAAGGTACAATTTAATATCTCAATAGAAAAAAAATGTACATTGCAAAAATATATTAAATATGAGGTTATAATTGCTTCTAATTTTAGTCAATTCCGTCTTAAAACCACATTCTCTAGTGGGATAAAGCCGTCAGTCAGTCAGAATGTGCTCAAATAAGACACATTTCTCAATTTTTGTGCAATTTTTGACTTATTTCTTTATCACTTTTTGCAGTGTACTCTCCATCCTACCAAGCCACTAAAAACTGTCAGGGTGTATTATGGATAAAGGCCTCCTGCTGGTGCCCAGAGTCAAAAGTGATGAGGCATTACAGACTTATGCAGCTAAAATCTAGATCAATCTTCCTGAAAATGTGAGACAGGATTCTACTATGACAATATTGAAATCCAGGTATTAAAGACGGCTCTGTTTATCTATTTCAATGTTTCCATCTGGTTTTGTTCAGCTCTTTAAGTTGCCTTGTGTACGAACTGCGCTACACAAATAATCTTGCCTTGCCATTACTACAAAGGCAGCTTCTCTTAAAACACATTAAGTACCACTTGCAGAAATACCTTTTTAAAATGTCATTCTACCGACTGAGATTAATTAATTCCTTGTATCAAATAAGTGAAATAGTTTTAGTCGTAGTGCCAGGTGTGCGTGACCTTCTCCGGCGACAAATCTGCCTCATAAGATCCAGTGCAAAAAACAAAATTACACAGCAGTTGATAATTGAGCAAATTTTAAAAAATTTCATATCAATTCCTGCCCTTGACGCGAAACAAAATAATTTGGCCTCTTTCGCAAAAATCATTAGCGCCACAGCTCTTCAAAACCATCTTTTTCATATCTTGGAGAAATTCCTTGATACGTGTATTTTTTTGCCGCCGCCTTAATAACTCGCTAATCACTGAATGTTTTTGTCGCTTCCAGTCGGAGAGAGAGAGACAGAGAGAAAAACGCATTTTTAAATTCGTCAGCAAAAAAAAAAAACCTAACACATTTTTTTTTTTGCGAGCTAATAAACGACCAGGGCTGCTTTCTTTGTATTTTTATCTTAAAATTTGCTAATCGCCTTCACAAAGAGGATGCGGAGGGGGGGACGTAGAGCGCTATCTCCTCCCCCCCCCCCAGGGACCGGCCTCCCCTTTTCATCTGCTATTTGTAGTTTGTTCATGCCCAATTTCATTAGCCGTTTTAATTCGTCTATAATTAAATCGCACGCACTCTCCCTGACACGGCGGCAGAGAGTGGGGGGACAGGAGCCGGCGTTTGTCATATTCACATGCAAGAAAAATAGGCAGAAAAAACACACGGGCGTATACGTAATTATACAAGCCGTAATCAGCAGACAGGAGAGGCCAGAGAGGAGCCTGCACTGCAAAAACTCTGCCCAATCGATATATCAAAGGTTTTTCATGCTTTGTCTAATTCTGAATTGGTTTGGTGCAGAACAGCAGTGGGAAATATTAGTTTGGTGCTAACGGATAAACTGTGAAGGGACGTTGAAAATTCATTTAAAAAGTCAGATTTGATGATATCGCCCATGGAAATTTTGATTCGATGTTTTTGCGTGTACAGCCCTAAATCACCGCAGCAGTCGTCTCAGAGAGGAATTTACGAAGTTGTACATTTGCCAACAACAGATCAGAGAATCAAACGGTTTGAAGAAGACACTGGTCCAAAAGGAGCGGGAAGACCAATGTCCAGAAATGTTTATAAATGTGCAAAAAGGTCCTGGAATCTACTGTTCTTAGTCCCGCCTGCATCAGCATTTCTATGTAGTTATTATTATTATTGTATTAAATTATTTTTTACTTTTGAAATGTGAGGAGTTCTACCTTTAATTCATTTTCTACCAGTGAATATCAAGTTCTAGTTACCATAGCAACGCACTGTTTACTGTCAGAAGCTAGCATTATAGCCTTTGTTTGCTGTATTTCAGTTAAAATGACCAGTTTTGACACTTCTTAAAAAGTGAGTAAAGGTAAAAACCATATTAATTTCTTTCTTTTAATGAATCTGTAAAAAAAAAAAAAAAATGAAATATTCTTTGGGGGAATTTGGCTCTGAGAATTCAAGTAGTTTCAGAATTCTGGGAGACTTTGTGTAGATCCAGAGTAGTTAACATTTCCCAGTTGTAAAATGCTAATTCTAAGTTAATGATCCTGTTTTGGTAGGCACCTATGCTTTATTCTGTGTGTGTTTGGGTGGGGCCAGGTAAAGTGCAGTTCCTTTTAATGACAGTAGGGGGAACCAGTGAGTGTAATGTGGAAGCTGACCTGGGTTTAGGCCCAACAGTTTTTTTTGACTGTGCTATTTTGTGGAAAAGTGCATTGGATGTGGAATTGAAACTGTTTGTTTGGAACCATGAAATCTGTGCCTCCATTAACACCACATTTCTCCGTTATTCCGTTAGTCTGGACTTTCAATCTGTTTATATTTTCAAGAGCACATGTCAAGCTAAAGCTATAGCCCATGCTGCTTACAGTGGCAAGACACTCTCAACAACTACCACAACAATTGAATCATCCCTGACCGTGGTAAAACAAGATTCACACTCTCTGAAAACAAGGCCGTAACTCTATATTCTGACTATATTCTGACTATATTCTGATTCAATGAAGTGACCAGAACTGTTACAGCCCATTCTACTTCTGAAATAGATGTAATAACTTTTCTCTTTTACGACTCCTGGCATTGTCTGTTTTTAGAATCATCTCATTCAAACACCTTTTTTTTTGCAGTGCACCTGGTCTGCGCTGCTCCCATAGACATATTATGAGGCGGCGGTGCTAAGTTTTGTAAATGAGAATGACCCCAATCTCCTGACAGTGCAAACACAGAGACGCCGCGATGATGGGGGAGATGATGAGGGGGGGAGGAGGGAGGAGGGAGGAGGGGGGAGGGGGCCATACCTCATTTGCATCTTCGTGATCAAAGACTAATTCTGGCGGTTGAAATATTAGCAGGGATATTTTTTTTTGTACAGGCGACCACAACGCCACACGAAGGGGAAGGCCAGGAGAGAGAGAGAAAGAGAGGGAAATAGAGAGATAGAGAGAGAGAAGGGAAGAGAGAGAGACACCAGAGAGAGAGAGAGTGAGAGGGACCAGAGAGAGACCAGAGAGAGACCAGAGAGAGAGACCAGAGAGAGAGAGAGTGAGAGGGACCAGAGAGAGACCAGAGAGAGACCAGAGAGAGACCAGAGAGAGACCAGAGAGAGACCAGAGAGAGAGACCAGAGAAAGAGAGAGTGAGAGGGACCAGAGAGAGACCAGAGAGAGACCAGAGAGAGACCAGAGAGAGACCAGAGAGAGACCAGAGAGAGAGAGAGCGAGACACCAGAGAGAGACCAGAGAGAGACCAGAGAGAGAGAGAGCGAGACACCAGAGAGAGACCAGAGAGAGAGAGAGCGAGACACCAGAGAGAGACCAGAGAGAGAGAGAGAGACACCAGTGAAAGACCAGAGAAAGAGAGAGAGAGACGTGGAGCTTTTAATGTTGATTTAATAAAAACATATAATTGTAAAAAACAGATGAGTAACATCAGAGAAATATTGGAAAGGCTTAAAGCCACTATGTTGTGTGAATGTGCGGATGTATATTTTTGTTGGGGAGGGTGGACCCGAGAGCATTTGTTCTCTGCTCTGTCACCATTGTCATTTCTGTACGCAGCAAAACATAATCAATATATGATTAAAAAAAAAAATACATATATTTTGTCAACACAGAGTCTGCTGGGTCCTAAAGAGTCAAAACACCAGAGTTTTGACTCTTTAGGACCCAGCAGACTCTGGTGTTTTGACTCTTTATGGACTCCAATGGTTATATAAATATGACATAACTAAGTGTCTCTGTATGTAGTATTCTGATATAACTGGATTAAGCCCGGTTTATTATAGCAATGTAATCTCAGTATACTTCCAAATTAGCTGCATTTTTTTTTGCTTCATTTTGACATAGTTTATCTTGATCCCATTTTAAATCCTCTCCTCTCCACCTCGCCACACAAAAAAACCTGACCCCGGCCCACTGCCCCCCCTACATTATACAAGCTGTAAAATTCATATCGACATTGCCATTCTCATTACGTGTGTCCAGTTGCCTCCAAAAACCACTTATTTCTCCTCCTCTCCTCCTTTCGCCACCCCCCCCCCATTTTGTCTGATCAATGACTTCTGGCTCCTGACACCGTGCTCTTCTCATGAAATATAAGCACTTATTAAAGGAACGCACATATCTCTGGCCCGGTTTGACTCGCCGCGGCCCCCCGTATAAATACATGGGGCTATCTTTAAAGGTCCAGGGGCCAAGAGCGCCAGCAGCAGCTCGCGCACGCCAAACATTAATAGTTAAAATTCATAAAAGTCAGATGAGGATGGGAAGATATTTGAAAGTGCCCTATCTCTTAACCCTCCTTCGCTATTCCTTCAAGTTGAGTAAGAAAGGAGAGGAGGGGAGAGGAGGAGAAGAGGAGGAGGAGAGGAGGAGGAGAGGAGAGGGTTAGGGTTCTTGGCCGTAACCTATTTCCTATTCGTCTCCTTGCCTCCTTTCCTTGCTTCCTTGACTTCCAGATTCTCAGGAGGAGCAGAAATTAGCCCAGGCTTTGTGGGAATTGGGTCAGCACCTTTAGCAGCAATCACCGGGCCACATGTGTGCAGTGCAGATAGAAGAGAGTGGCTTTCTTTTTTTTTGGAGAAATGTGAAATTCTCATTCTTAAGTTCTTTATAAAAGTTTCTAATTGTTTTAAATATAAAAATATATACCTCTTAAGTATAATACTACGCATATGGCACTTTTATACTTTCTCCTCTTGCAAAAAAAATAACTAGATTGAAATATATATGTACTGTGGGGCCACCTGCATGTGAAATCCAGATCCTGTCAGAACTCTGAAGCTAAGCAGGGCAGGGCCTGGTTAGAGCTGCGATGGGAGACCTCTGGGAACACCCAATTGTTGCTGTGTCCTTTGGCAGGACACGTCACCCACATTGCCGGGAATGAGTGTGGTGTGTGCGTGGGTTGGTGGTGGTCGGAGGGGCCGATGGCACATTCTGATTGCCTCACTTCTGTCAGTGTGGCCCAGGGCAGCTGTGGCTAGAGTAGTAGTTTATCCCCACTGTGTAGGGAATGAATCTTTGTGAAGCCCCTTTGAGTGTCCAAAAAAGCGCTATACCAACTGATGCATTATTATTGTTATAAAAAGGTATTGGAAATTCTCCCAAATAGTGTCTGAGTATACATAAATTATATTGTATGTGGATATAATAATGTATAAAACTTACGCAGAGTAAAAAAAAACAATATTTACATTTGAAGCTGAAGAAATAGGTCAAATTGTTGAAATAGGACAATATTCAAACATGCTCGATTCATTCCTGTCGAGTATGAAAATGATGAATGAAACCATTATAGAATATTTTAAAACTCATAAAGGTTGATTTTGTGTGTGATTCTACATGTATCCAGCTCCTGCAGCCGTTCTGCAGAGAGTCTAATGTTTCTGTGTGTAAACCGGGGCAGAGTCTCTGTGGTGGAGTTTGACTGATGTTGTTTGGTGGTTTTGGCCTCAGACCACGAGAAGACAATCAGTGATGTGTGCTTTTCATATTACACGTGTCTCCATGTTTAAATGAGCCCTTTGATTTATGCGGATCCCACCACCACGGCCACAACACTCTGACTGAACACGCACCAGCCCAGATCTCACTTCTTATAAGAGTTGTTAAAGAACTTCAACTTCATTACAATTCACAGGGTTCTATCTGCGTTCTGGGTTTGTCTAAAGGTTCTAAAGAGGAATCGTCACTTCTCCAGAACGAGACAGAAACAAGGCTTAACCCTTTAATCAAATATGGTACATCCTCCGGTTTGATTCTTTGATCTGTTGTTGGTGAACCGATAACTTTGTAAAGTCCTCCGAGACGACAGCTGTTGGGGGCGATTTACGGCAATACACAAATAAACGGATATGTATTGAGAAATTGCTAAACAGAAGCTGCAAAGTAATATGGCGTGAAAAATATCCTGAATTGACAAAAATACGCCAAAAAGCGACTGGAGCTGTATCGAAGACTACAAGTAGCAACTATTTCTACTTCTCTTCAGCATTTGAAAGCTACTGCTGCATTATCCATTGTTTTACTCACAAATAAAACGTAGTGTATCCAAATAAATGAATGATGCGTACCTTCCATGTGGCGGTGTTTCTCCTGAAGTAGGCAAACTTTCTCGTGAACCAATTGTAGATCTCGTTCAGAGTCAGCTGCCGGTCTGGAGACTCCAGTATCGCCTGAACAAAACATTTGAGTCATTTGAGAAAAAAATTGATATAAGTTGGCTTTTTGATAGTGTAAATGTGGGTGAAACTCACGTGGCGTATAAGGGAGGCGTACGTGAATGGAGGTCTGACGTCAGCGTTTTTGTAGAACTCGCAGTTCTGAGCCAACTCTGGAGAAATTAGAGAAAACAATATTTGTAACATATATTTTACCATGTGTTATTGTTGCAAAGAGAAGAGGCTGTACAGACAAAGCACTGGCAATTTTTGTACTTGAAAAATTGTACCCAAAAAGCAGAGAACGGACCAATAATGAATTTTAAAAGCAGCTCCTAAATGACAACGCAATTGTACGACATTTACCACAATCTGTTCGAAAACATATATCAGAAAAATGGGAAATAACTAGTAGCATGCTAATTGTTGTTAGCTTTACCAAGGTTGCAAAAGACTCGGTAAATGGTTAGAATGCCGGGGATGATACAACATGCTTTCCTCACGTTCAGGCTCAAAGCTACCAAAACGTCACTGTTTTCTGACGTTACAAGTTAATGTTTTTCTAACGCTATGCTAACCGCTGTTTCATTTAGCTTTGTTTACTCGCTTAATGAGATGAGATGATGTCAACCGCTCTTAAAACAAATGGGAGGACAGAGACGCTTTCTCATCCGACGTCTGATTTATCTGACTCGTTGTTGGACAAAATAAACTGTTAAATGTGTAAAAAAAATGTTAAGTATTGACGTTAGTAAATTGTCCCTTCCGTGCCACTGTATTTACGTATGTACATGAGTTACGTTGATTCCTAAATGCTGGTTACACATCACGTTTTTAAGCTGTAATATACAAGCTGAAAGCCAAGTCCGGTCTCTTGCCTCCTCATGACACATGTATGCAAGTAAATAACACCAGCTTCATTACAAACGGCATTAGTACGTGCATTAGCGTTAGCCGCATTAGCTCGGCCCTGGTTTTCCCATGTTTTTACCTGAGGCGATGGGCGTGCAGTACTTGTCGGAGTTGCGCCTGCGTATGGGTCCCACGCCGTGCGAGTGGGCGTGCGGGTGCAGGCCCGAGGAGCTGATGACGGAGGGGCCCGAGCGCAGGGGGGTGATGGGGGTCGCGGCCGAGGTGGGCGGGTGCTGCAGCCCCTCGGAATATGCATCACTCTCCCGCTTCAGCAGGGCGGCGCTGGAGGCTAGGTTCAACTGGAATACATACAGAGAGAAGAGACAGAGTGGTAAAGTTTCCTTCATTTATACAACGGGATCTGGAGACTCTTGTCCCTCGAGACTCAGAGAGAGAATTACTACATGCTAATATAAATGATAATAATACATTTTATTTCTTAGGGCGCTTTTCTAGACACCCAAGGTTGCCAAGTAATAAGTACATTTAAAAACAGTTAAAATACAAAGTTTAAAACAGCCTGACTAGAGGATGGTGGAAAGGCTTGTCTAAACAAATAAGTTTTGTGGGAGAGGTTGAGAAGTTACGACATTAAAACCAAGCAGGTGAAATTGCAATGTTAAATTTGAGAGATATAAGACTGTTTTGGATTCACAGCACCAGAAAAAAACCCCACTGTTTTGGATTAAAATTATGACGATTTTGAGCCAAACCGGAAAAATATATAGAAAAGTTTAAAACGAGATATGGCTGGCTACCAATCAAGAAGCTTCTTTAAGGCTTAGTTTAGTGACTGTGGCACCCCCAGACTCTGTGTAAGTAAATAAGTAATATTTATTTACAAAGAGCCTTTCACAGACCAGAGTCACAAAGCACTCCATGAGGAAAACCTAATATTATTAAATATTTGAATAACACAGGATTGTTCATGCGTCTCTATGACAATAACCAAAAGTCTATCCTGTGCACGTTGTTAAACTAATACAAATTCTGCAGCTAACTTTTGATGCTATACTTCTTTAAATGATGTGGAGCAATTTTGAGGCCAGATGGTGAAACGACTAAGGCAGAGTCCATAAAAAAGCAACGTTACATTTGAGAGATATATACGCCTGCTTTGGATTCACAGCACCAGAAAAAAAACATGCAAAACATATCAGCCATACTTCATTCATACAATATCAAAATGTGTAATTGTGTGTACAAGCAAATAGAATTATCCCGCTCGGCCAACACCAAACACCTGTTAAAACCGGCGTAATTCCACTTGTGTTGTGAGAATTCATTATTACCATCTTACCACCACATTGATTTAAACAGAACTGTGGTAACGGCACCTGGGGGACCAATGCACCTGTCCCATGCTCTGTTATTTTCAATATAGACCCAACACACACACACACGCACACACCCACACACACACGCACACTTATTTACAGTCGCAGCAATTAACCCCAGTTTACTTGAACACACCACAGACAGCCTGTTTATTAGAGGGCCCACACATTTGCGTATCTCTCCCAGTGTGGAGGGGGTGGTTATGGGGTGGGGTGGCTATAGGACACACTTTTCTGCCTTCTTTGTGGTGATGCTGCGGTCTTCATGCACAAGCTATCGACCAATTAGGCCCAGCCACAACCGCACTGAGCTACAGTCTGCAAAAGCGTGGGACTAATTAAAAACAATACAGTGGATGTGTGCCGTTCTATACGCTGCTGGTTATTGTTGGATTTAACCATAGTTTCACACGTACTGCTCCGTCATTTGCTATTCTAAAGTACTATTATCATCACTTTCAAAGCAAATCATGATAAGAAAGAAGTGTGACTATTATCATTTTTAATGGTTTTGGCCCAGGTTCAAAATGTAAGCAGGAAAGTCTTGAGGTCTACGTTTTGTCGTAGAAAAACTGCGGTGAAATTAACATGAATCTCAACTATTCATACTATCTTTTACTCAAACCATTTGCTATTAATAACTTATTCCAGAGCTGAAAATATAAGAATTATGCTAAATATATGACTATGTAAAACACCGGCAATACTGTTCATGTGGTATTATAGTTATACACTTTTTCTGTCTCAAAGTGTCTGAAGCAGGAAGTTATTTAAATCTATGGCAATGTAAACCAGGGCCTCCAACCCTATTGAAAGTTCATTAATTTGCTTTGTATGCGCCTTAAAACATTATTATGCCAGTTTGTGAGTCTGGGCATCAATGAATGCAGGCCTAAGCAGTAGCGATAGTCCAAGGAATTGCAGATATGAGCCAATATAATTAAACGTTAAACAATTAAATCTCCATTGTATATGAAGTAGCTTTCTAGTGATGTAAGTGGTAGGTCTTGAAACAGTATGTAAAACAGCAGTCGCTTAGAAGGAGGTGACGGTTAATCGCTAATTAAACTCCAAAATGGCCGCCTCCCCCCACCCCCCCCCCCTTCCCCGCCCCTCCCCTCTCCACAGAAAGGGGGCGGCGCCTTTTAACAGGTACTTCATTAACGCGTCTCCGTGGGCAACAGTGCGACCTCGTTAATTGAGGCCAAGCTTTGTTTCCATTTTAACGAAACCCCGTCCCCCTCCCTCATCCCTCCCCGTCCAATCAGTGACCCCCCCCCCCCCCCCCCGTCGCTCAAAGTACACGCCCCTTTCCCCAAGATTTCCTATTACATGTTAATGGCAGCTGATCCCCCAGCGACACACACACACTCATTTATATCCCCTCAAATTAAGACACTCTGCCTCTAATTGACAATTAATTTCAACATCTTCATATTTTAATAAGTCTTCTCGTCAATCTGGATCATAAAATATTCATTAGATAAGTAATAACAGAAGACTACGCACACACACACACACACACACACACACACACGCAGCTTTGTGATGGGAGATTTCTGACACCAAATGAAATATGAGAAACCACTTTGGGCCAGATGACAATGAAATTATCAAATTCGGCTTCCAATAATTTAGGAGAGCAGCTGCTATCAATGCAGAGCAGGAGCAGGAACAAGCAGACGCGACACTGTTGTGATAGTCAAAATAAGGAAGACATAAATAACCCGCAAGGAGCAAAATCCTTGAAGTAGCAGCTCCGTGTTTTAAGGCTGTAAAACCGCTCACCGCACACTTTACACACATTTCTCAGCACTTGCATGTTCTCCCTGTGGCTGTATATGTTTATATGCTAAAAACATGTACAATAATTCGATGTCTGGGGCCAGGACTCCTACTGAGGTTTGACTTTAAAAGAGTTCAAGCTGAGGTACCTAGCTTTCACAGCACAAAAAAACGTCATCTGCCCCTTATGGACTATTGGCTTGTTGTGATTTAGGGTTAGACAAGAATACATTTCATGCAATACAATCCGTCCAACTCCATCTATCACTAGTTTCCACGTACATGTAGTTTTGGCCTGTAGATCAATATTTATATCTGTGGGTCTGCTTTATCAAACAGAAAGCTCCGCTCTTGCTCGGACTGTCTGCTCTCAGCCCAAAGCGTCCATTCGTGACTTTTGCACAAGTTTGCAAACGTATACAAAGTTTTTCTAATAAGACCGAGACACTATGATGTGGTCTGATTTGTTCACAAACGTACTTTACTCGGTTCTTTCCACGTAAAAGGTGTTATTAATGAAGGACAGTAAGGTACCCCACCGTTAAGTAAAACAATAAATTCATGTTTTGTCTGAAAATGTTCCAATAACAGGAGTTTAATGTTGCAGATAGAGGTTGTTTGTAAATAACAACACAACCACAAACGGCCAATAGAGGGCGTATGTGATCTACAGCCTGAGTCCTGGGTCTACAGCCTGTCTGTCCTGGGAGCGGATCACTGTATCAATGTGGACCTCCAGGTTTCCCACTGGTTTTTTTCTTTTGAGTGGTTCTTTGCCGATGCAGGAGGGTCTAAGGACAGTGATGATCCGGGACATTTAAGACATTTGTTATCATTTATGTGCTCATCTCGCTCCCAATGGACTAACGGCTCAAATGTGTTTGTTATAATTGCATTCCTTGTGTTTGAAGTGATTCTCTGATCTGTTGTTGGGGATTAACAACTCTGTACAGTCCTCGAAACAACTGCTATTATGATATAGGGCCGCACAATAATACACTACATTGAGAAAGTAAAAAGGCCTCTCACACAGACTTTACTCTCCAAATACCGATTTCTTTCAGTAAAACATGGGATTGTTTATTTCAACTCATTAAATATGACTCTGTATTTGTTGAAAACGTCTAACAATGGCTTCATGTTTGTTATTCTCATTTTAACAATAGATCTTTTAGGATTTGATAGAAAACCACAGCAGTTATAAGAGGTAGTAGGAGAGTCCAATTTTTAGTTTTACCGCCGTTATGATTTAAAAACTAGTTTGATCATTGAAATGAATACATCCTGATTTGTTTTGGCTGTTCTCTGATGGTCTCTCTCTGATCTCGGCCTGGTTTTTCTCTGGTCTCTATTTTTTGTCTTTCTCTGGCTTCTCTCTTTGGCCTCGCTGGTCCATCTCTGGTTTCTCTCTGGTTTCTCTTTGGTCTCTCTCTGGCCTCTTTCTGGTTCCTCTCTGGTCTCTCTCTGGTCTCTCTGGTTTCTCTCTGGTCTCTCTCTGGTCTCTCTCTGGTCTCTCTCTGGTCTCTCTCTGGTCTCTCTCTGGTCTCTCTCTGGTCTCTCTCTGGTCCCTCTCTGGTCTCTCTCTGGTCTCTCTCTGGTCTCTCTCTGGTCTCTCTGGTTTCTCTCTGGTCTCTTTCTGGTCTTTCTCTGGCCTCTCTCTGGTCTCTCCCTGATTTCTCTCTGGCCTTTCTCTGGTTTCTCTCTGGTCTCTATTTCATGCCTTTCTCTGGCAACTCTTTCCGGTCCATCTCTGGTTTCTCTCTCTCTAGTCTTTTTTTGGCCTCTCTCTCTGGTCTCTCTCTCACCTTTCTCTCTCTGGTCCCTCTCTCTTGCTGAAATGTCATGTTGAATATAAAGAAAATACATGTTTTTGTTGTCACATTTGTGAAAAAGGCCTGTACACCAAAACAGAGAACACTGCATCCAGAGCACAAATATATTTTGTTGCTTTTTCGTACGAACCTATACAAGTTCATGACACCTAAAAAACCACTATCCATTCATTCATTCATAAGAGAGATCAGAGGTGGTGAGTGCAGGAAGGCAGCGTCACTCACTGGTTGGCTGAAGGGTTTGGGCTCCGAAGGCCTCATGTGGAGATGAGCCATCATGGCCTGCAGCCGCTCGCTCTCTTTGGATAACTGTGGAGCAAACACACGGCTTTAACCCACAGAGAAAACAGACGTCACAGCCATTTCATTTTAAGATCAAGATTCATTCATCCCACAAAATCAGTGTTGCCTCCACAGTTAAAGAAGAGTAGGAATGAGGACCATAACTCTAAAACACTTTAACTTTAACTGTCTAACTTTAGCATAACAAAGAAGCAAGAATTAAGTACAAATATCTGACATTTTGAGCTTTTAGTTTGTTTGTTTGTGTTTTAATCTGTAGTACTTTGAGGTTTCCTGTACAGAGCAATATAAATATCATAACATTAAAAGTATAAACATTCGGACTAGCACATTATGTTTTTATCTGTATAACTGCAAAAACGTCAACACAAAATAAAATAAAAAAAACACAAAATAAATAAATACAAATATCGGCCTAAAATGTTGATCCTAAATAAAAACTTAATGTCTTTGTTTCCTTTTGGGACAATAACAATCTTTGAAGGATATGAGGACACAAGAATGATGCAGGGAAAAATATTTACTTTTTTAAAATACATTGAACAAAAATAGAGAAAGAGAAATAATCCAAAGTGCCTTGTTTGTAATTCCGTTTTTGTCACTTCCAAACGTATCCTACACAATAATACTATACAATTTAGATCATAATAATGTTTGGTTTTTTAAAATGATTTAATAATACATTATTCATGTTTGTTCAGTTTTTTCACTTTTGTATTGACCAATATGAGACAGATCCTCTTCACTCCTGTGCATCCAGTAGTGTGTGTGTGTGTGTGTGTGTGTGTGTGCGCGTGTGTGTCTGTATGCGTATATATGTGTGTGTGAATGTATGTGAGTGTCTGTGTGTGTGTGTGCGCGTGTGTGGCTGTATGCGTATATATGTGTGTGTGTGAATGTATATGAGTGTCTGTGTGTGTGTGTGTGTGTGTGTTTGTGTCTGCATGCGATATATTTGTGCGTCTGTATGCGTATGTATGTATGTGTGTGTTTGTATGCGTATTTATGTGTGTGTATATATATATATGTGTGTGTGTAGTGTTCGTGGAGGTTAGCGTAAACAGCGATTAGCCCAGCGCCTGAAGCCGTCCGCTCAGAACAGGAAGTGACAGAGGAGCGTACGCGTCAGATCCCATCAGGGCGAGTCGCTCTGCCCTGACACTGCTCCTGTCAATCAAACCCTTGCCCTCGCCACCGCTCACTCACACGTGCCGCGTCTCTTAAATACATTCTTATTTTTGTCTGACGCATCATTTACACTGCAGTCAAATGTTTAAGTAGTGACTCATGTGCTATACTTCACATTTACCAGATTTACAGAGATATAGATTAAGATTAAGATTATTATTTGTCCCAGGATGGAGGCTGGTTGTCTCGCTGCTGTTGACGGAGTCTTGATGATAATTGGGGCTTTTGTGTCGAAGGTTTTTTTTTTTTTTTACGTTTCAGGCTCCAGTGCTTTCTGTAAACTCGTTGTTTGTGACCGAAAGTTGCTGGACTCGTCATTAATACTGTAAGAATTACTTTTTGACTGGTAAATTTTCTCTTTTTGTGTTTAGGCCTTTAAATGTACTTAAAAACAGATGGCTAAAAAGGGGATTTTCAGATCAATGATTGACAGAATATATGATCAATATTCATATATTTCTTTGCAACGTGGTGAGGTTATTTTGAAGGTATATTATAAGATTTTAGCTCTAGAACAGGGGTGGCAAACTCATTAGGGGCAGAAGTACTGGCAGGTCAGGGGCCAAAACTAGACACAGACATTGGTAGAATGTTTTTATCATGTTTTATCTAACCTTACTAAAACAGAAAACAGAACAGAAGGTAAAGAAAGCTTGTGTGGGATAGGCCAATGATTTGACAATGTGTGAATCAATATGTATAATACTAATAATAACAATAAAACAATTAAAATAATAATAATAATAACAATAAAATAATAATATCAATAACAATAATAATAATAATAATAATATTGATAGAGATGAAAAATAGCCCTTTGGCTAATTCAGGCATTTTATTATGCACTGTCCCTTTAAATAATAAATAAATACATACAAATAATCAAATGGTTTTTCATACCTGTATCTCCAGCTGCTGCACCACCTGCATCTGCACTCGACACTGGGCCGTGCTGCGGTCGTCCAGCGCGTGTTCGTTGTTCAAATGTCTGCGGAAAAAATACATTTTTATTGAAGATTATCAGATCAAATCCAATGTTTTTAGTATAGCACAGTTCCTCCACAAGACAAACCAAAGTGCCTCACAACAGCCCACAAACCAGCAGCATCTCCGTTTATCCATCTATGTTTCTATATATCCATCTATCTGTTTGAGCAGAGCAACGGCATCATTACCCAAACATGCATCAGTCCAAAATCAACTTTGAGTTTAATATCTATGAGAACATTTGGTGTAAGTCACTTTTCCAAATCTGTATACTGCAAAAAGTGACGAAAAATAAGTAAAAAATTGCTCAAAATTGGCTAAATCTCTTGTATTCAAATTGTATATAAATGGCTTTAAATCTTGTTTTAAGAAGGTCAGAATGTACTCAAAATAGGATAAAAACCACTCGATTCATGCAATTACTACCTAATACTTTATAATTTTTTGCAGTGCATGTACAGGATCTTTTCGCCGGGCCATAACCTGCGGATCACATGACGGTCATTGCTGCGATTCCCGCTCGGCTCGTCGGTTTTCACGGCTAAACCCATTCACATGCCTTGTACTTTTGCCGATGGAAAAATAAATCTTTCCCCCTTTGTTGTGTCTGCGGAGGCCGAAGCCGCTGCAGCTGTGTTGTGTTGTGAGCGCGGAGGCAGCGAGTGGGAGACGTAAGAGGCACCTGGAGTGAGATCATCGCATTATCTGTTATTATCAACGCGTTTATCTGCAGGGTTCTGTGTGTGTGTGTGTGTGTGTGTTTGAGTATGGTTTGAAGAGTGAGAGTGAAGGGAAATGATGTGTGTTTCCTCAAATGTGGGAGGGCCGGGAACCTTCTGATCTGGGACTGCTCTGGTGGAGGTGAAGCGCAGGTTAGGGCAGGCGTCTTTCCTCACTCTGATTTATACTGCTGTTTTTAAGTTGTAATTGTAGTTTTTGGGTCATTATTAATGTTTGATCTTAAGTCACATGTTTTCGAAAGTTACTATCAATTTTACAATAAGAAAAAAAAAAGAATTTTAGTGATATATTGTGCCAGACCGAAAGGGGTTTAGGCTGAAGTCTATTTTTGTCCTGCTTCAGCACTTTTTTACGACTGTGACACTTTGTCCAAAGACGACACATTCTACAGTTTCTCTAACACCAAAGATGGGAATCAGAATTATTAAGCATGATCCAATACAGGTGTTTTATACTTCTCCATAATGTTTAACTTGTACTTTTTGAAATGCTTTATGGGGCAGTGATAATGAACAGACAAGTGGAAGGGAACTGTTTTGTTTTGAATTCAACTATTGGAATTAAAGGCCAAAGTCTTGTACCAATAGAAAACTTTGACATTTAATAAAGGTTAAATTATTAAATAAAAATCATAATAACACAATATTTCTTTAATGACATTTAATGTATGTATTTGTTGTCATGTTTTGTCCTTTTTCTCTTGTTTTCTCCTTTCTTTTTTGTTACTTCATGTCGTTTCCATAATCTTATTTTTTCTTAAATTCTTTCTTCCCTCAATATTTTCCTCACCATATTATAAACAAAAAAAAACAGTAATTAAAGTCAATTTGGATGTCATTATGTTATTAGGAATTAACCGCCCTCTGCACTTCTCTCCAATCTCTGATGATTTGACGAGCACGAATCACCAGAATGATTGGCAATTAGTAGGACCAAAAGTCTTGATGATCCACTGGGAAGTATAAATCCTCCCATATATCTTTCAGTATTACTCCTAGCTTTTCTGTCTACAACATGCTGTCTTTAACTCATTAGAAAACATTTTGGGGGCCCCTGCATATTATGGCCCCCCACTCTTCTGCCCACTTTGGCCCCATGGCAGCTCCGCCCCTGCTTCAGCCAGTGCACCTGTGTCTCTCAAACCAAACTATGGCTCAAACATGGATTAAATCCTCGTCTGTCATCGCTACAACAAGTAAACATAGTCAGAATGTCTAATCCCATCTAAAAAGTAGTTTGAAATGTGAGTAGTCGGCAGAGGGGGAGGGGGGAGGGGGTTTGGGGGAGTTCTGCGTGGGCGATGGAAGGGGGGGGGGCTGGGCTCATGGAGTGTTATTATGTGCCACTTGTAAGGATTCAACTCTCCGCAGATTAACGCAGGCATGACGACATTGTTTTTGTTTGATTCCCACTCCTGGCTGCGGAAACACAAGTTCAAAAAGCAGCTTTTTATAAAGTGAAATAAAAAAGATTTTGTATTAAGTTTAAAGGTGTTCAACGGTGGCTGAGTGGTTATCCCTCTCGCTTCACAGCCAAAAGATCCTGGGTTTGAATCACAGTCCTGTGCACAGATGGTCAATACAGACCCGCTAGCTCAATGAAGCTCGATAGGGAAGTGCTCATGGAGGAAGTTTTTCTCCAACTCGCTCTGGTTCTTATTGACTTACATTGAACAGTAAGTCAATAACTCTAGTCTTTGTTAATCAAGATATGAGCCACATAAGGATTGACCAATCAGATCCCTTCATTCGCAAGGAAAACTCCAGCTTGCCTTACCACGCAACAGCTTTACAAAGTTTCTAAATTGCGAGCAACAAATTGGAAAATAACAAACACATCATTGGTCCATCGGGAACCACTGTCCATAAATGTCCATAAATGTCCATAAAATGTCCCGGATCATTAGACCTTAGACTAGGGGTTTCCAACCTGTGGCTCGGGAGCTACCAGTAGCTCACCAACCCTTTCCAGGTAGCTCCCCAAAGGATTTAGAATTTAACACATGACATTTTATTATAGATATAGGGTTTTACAACATTATAGCATATGTTTTATGTGTTTGCCATGTGTCTACTCTCTTCTTGTAATTATTACATAGATTTCATTATTATTTTTTATTAGCAGTAGCTCTCTGCCTCTTCTGATATATGACAGTAGCTATCCGATTGAAAAAGACCCCTGCCTTAGACCCTCCTGCATGGCCAAAATATGTAAATCAAGCAACAATTTTTGGTCTTTTTCTCAGCTAACCTGTTATTGTTTTTCGACTGAAAGTTTAACCAGGTATTTTTTTTATTTATTTCTTATTCAAAGTATTGTTTAACTGGCAGATAATTACAGTTGTCAGAGAAATCACCTCAAATCGACGTGTTCGCGATTCAAGTTAACTTAAGTCATCTATTGTTTCATGCAGCCTTTATCCCTTATCACTATGAAACCGGCAAAGAGCGAAAACAAGGCAAAAAATAAGTCCACATTTGTCAACTCATGCAGGCCATATCTAGATTTGGGAGTATTTTGACTGTTTTGAAATCAACATTTGTCCAAGGTACAAGCAGTTTTTGTCTCAATACAAGCACAGCACAATCTTTCCTCTTTCCCAAGGAGAGATTGTATGTCAGAATATCCTAAAATACAGATACATTTTGCTTATTCCAACACATGCTTACCTATAATAATCAAAACGACTTCTATCTGGCCTCTATTTTTGCAGTGTTGGCCCTCCCCCTTGCCTTGTGGTGTTATGAAACCTCACACCAAACAACTGCTTTACTCCCAAACTTTTTTTTCTTTACCCCTTCTCTTTCCCTCCCTCCCTCCTCCTCCTCCCCCTCCTCCTCCGGGCGGCTTTGATGTGCCTGTCCGATCTCACTGTATACAAGTGTGTTTCATCAGCTTGCCCTTATTAATACAGCCACTGTTTAAAGTCCTGTGAGCGGTGGGGGTTTTTTCAGCGAGTCATTAGACTGCAGCGGACTATGGGGGGGTGGGGGTCCGACAGGAGGAATGTCAAGGCCGAAGTATCAGCCACAGCATGGAGTGGACGAGAGGAAACATAATGTATACTGCATGTCTTTGTTTAAGTGTTGAGTTACTATGCTTCATTTATAAATAACATTGTTTAAGTCCACTTATTGGGATTGCAAAGGAGCCGTGGATATAGTACAATGGTTACGTTCAAAAACTAAACAGCGAAATCCAGCTGTATGTTTTAAAGATGTAAATCCCCTCACACACGCTGCATACACTTTTCTAACTGCCTGAACTCACGACTGCTGAAGTGAGAGAGACCAGAGATATCAAACATGTTGGTTGTAGGTCTGAGCGCTGCAGCAGCTGTCAAAAGCCGTGCATGCACTGTAAAATGCAGCTGCAGAGGACAAAGGGGCAGGAGCAGGAGACACCAGAGAGAGACCAGAGAGAGAAAGAGAGACCAGAGAGAGACCAGAGAGAGTGACCAGAGCAAGAGCCCAGAGAGAGAGAGACCAGAGAGAGACCAGTGCGAGACCAGTGAGAGAGACCAGAGAGAGACCAGAGAGAGACCAGAGAGAGACCAGAAAGAGAGACCAGAGGGACACCTGAGATAGACATAAGAGAGACCAGGGAAAAATATCAGAGAGAGACCAGAGAGAGACCAGAGAGAGAGAGAGAGACCAGAGAGAGACCAGAGAGAGACCAGAGAGAGTGACCAGAGCGAGAGCCCAGAGAGAGAGACCAGAGGGACACCTGAGAGAGACATAGGAGAGACCAGGGAAAAACATCAGAGAGAGACCAGAAATAGACCAGAGAGAGAGACCAGAGCGAGAGCCCAGAGAGAGAGAGACCAGTGAGAGACCAGTGAGAGAGGCCAGAGAGAGACCAGTGAGAGACCAGTGAGCGAGACCAGAGAGAGACCAGAGAGAGACCAGTGAGAGAGATCAGTGAGAGAGACAAGAGAGAGTCCAGAGCGAGACCAGTGAGAGAGACCAGAGAGAGAGACCAGAGAGAGAGACCTGAGAGAGAGACCAGAGAGGGATAATAATACTGTAATTTTCACCGCTGTGATTTTGAGTTGTTCGTTGCTGATGCAGGTCTATGGACAGTGATTAACATTTATTTACATTCATAGACAGTGGACTTTTCCGATGTGTTTGTTATCGTTGCTTTTCCTGTGTTCGGATTCTCTGATCTGTTAACAGGGAATCGACAACTTCGAGTCTCCTGCTGTTGTCATTTAGGGCTATACACAAATACATATAATTGAGCTGAACTTCTGCAGTAGGAAAAGTCATACTTGCACCTTGCAGTAAATATGATGAAATCTAAGGCAACAATGCACGCAACAGCTTCACAAAATTGTCAATTTTTGAACAACAAATTAGAGAATCAAACAGGTCAAACACAGGAAATAGAGTAATAACAAACAAATCATTAGTCCATAGGGAACCACTGCCCATAAATGTCCATAAATGTCCATACATGTCCATAAATGTCCATACATGTCCCGGATCATCAGACCTTAGACTAGGGGTCTCCAACCTGTGGCTCGGGAGCTACCAGTAGCTCGACAGCCCCTTCCAGTTAGAATTTAACACATGACATTTTGAGGCATTACATATAATAACAGTGATGGGAATAACGGCGTTACTAGTAACGCCGTTACTAACGCCGTTACTTTTTTCAGTAACGAGTAATCTAACTAATTACTTTGACTGTAACTATAACGCCGTTATCATTTCCGACATCCCGTTACTGCGCGTTACTCAAGACGCACAATGAACTTCTCTTTTTACTTCGTGATAGGACTCGTGCGCGTGTTGTCATGAGAGAAGGGAGGATGAGAAAACCTCTCAGCAATTATTGACTGATGTAAAACATATTTCCTTTACAATCTACATGTCTACAGTTGAGAGGATGGTCATAAATTGTGTTTTTGAAACAAATATGGGTCTTAGTCGCGCTCAACCACAGCTTGTATCACCGTGAGGTCAGCCTCAGAGGAGCTCATGTGAGCGCAGAAGTCGGCTGCATACAATTCCATCTGAAAGCTCCTTTCTCTTCCTGGTTTATCTGCTAAGGGCTGCAACAAGTTTGGCTAACATACATATAACACATTTTAAGATAATTTAAAATGCACTTACGGTAATTTTTCAATTACTATAGGAATGATAAGAAAGAGAGGTGAAGTGTAAGACGGTTGATTTTAGAAATTGGATGCACCCGGCTGCACCTAGCAAAACAGAGTAGTTTACGGAGGACACACGCGTTTTGTTTTACTTTTTAAAACTCATTTCCAAATGGAGGATTACATATCTACGCTCAAACTATTATCTGGACTTAAACACAGAACTGGTCTGAACTGAAGTGGTCTGTGCAGGTCATTTATAAGGTAAGACCCATAACTCATAGTTTTGCGTTTTGTATGAACAAACAATGCGGGCATGAAACATATTTTGCTGTAGCCAAACAAATTGTCCAATTGATTTATATGATATATATGTTCATCTGATTGGTCTGAAGTCAGTGCTTCACCGGTGTTTCCACATTCACAGTGGCTGGTGTTTGTGTTTAGTGCTTACAGCACAGAGAGAGATGAAGAGTGAACAGGACTTCAGCAGCAAAACAGCCTTTTCTAGATGGAAATATTGGCACTGTTTCAGACTCACTGAGGTTAAAGGTAAAACTGCGCACGTCGAGTGCACATTATGTTCCAGAACAGAACGAAAAAGTAACGCAATAGTTACTTTTACTGGTAACTAGTTACTTTTATAGTGGAGTAACTCTGTTAGTAACTCAGTTACTTTTTGGGAGAAGTAACTAGTAACTATAACTAATTACTTTTTCAAAGTAACGTGCCCAACACTGATAAATATAGGGTTTTACAGTATTATATTATATTAGGAGTAGCTCTCTGCCCCCTCTGTTATATAAAAAGTAGCTCTGACTGAAAAAGGTTGGAGAACCCCTGCCATTATCTATCTCTTTCAAACAACTTGATGTAGCCATGTTGATGTTACTCACTTATACAAAAAGGCTCCAGTGTGAACATATATTATTATAAAATCACGGCATAATCAGTGCATATAATTTGACATACATGCACTTTGTAGTAAATATGATGAAATGTAAGGCAACAATGGAGTTTTTTTCAGTCGACTTGAAAGAAAAGTTGTGTCAGCGAAGGGTAAAACTGACTTGATACAGTGAAAATAAATAAAGTATTCTGAGGAGAAACGTGCTTTGAGGGACCTGCTGTTCTTTTAACTAATACAAGACACAAAAAGGCCTGAGGCGGAAACCAGAGCTCGCCGAGACGGCAGCCGAGATGAGGAGTTAGGATAGTTTTGACAAAGATGAAGACGATACCAAACTTTTAAATACTGGAAAGTATTTAGACCATGGATGTATTCAATGATGTGGATGGGGAGCAGCTGCTTGGACTAGAGGCCACCCGCGGTACTGCAGCTTACAGTAGATCCACATGTGGCTGTAAACGAGACTTCAAGGAACTACAGATTTCACAAAGAGGGATTTTGTGGCGTTTTTGGGGTCCCTTGTCATCTTCCGATTGGTCAGAACGCTCACATGTCCCTCTGTGCTCTCTCTCTCTGGTCTCTCTCTGATCTCTCTCTCTGTGGGTCTCTCTGATCTTTCCCGAGTCTCTCTCTGGTCTCTCTCTGGTCTATCTCTCTGATCTTTCTCTAGTCTCTCTCTGGTCTCTCTCTCTAGTCTCTCTTTGGTCTCTCTCTCTGGTCTCTCTCTGGTCTCTCTCTCTGATCTCTATCTGATCTCTCTCTAGTCTCTCTCTGGTCTAGGGTTCAAACCACACATGAGATACTGTAATTGTTTTACTTGATTGTTGTGAGCGGCGGGGAGACTTACTTGATGAACTGTCCCATGTCGTCGCACAGAGCTTCACATCCAGGCCACTTGCACTCTCCGTGTCCGTACAGCGGGTGGGAGCCCGAGTGCTCTTCATGACTGGAACAACAAGAAACACAAATAATATTTAAGACCACAATTTTACCAAACCAAATAATAAACATATGCACATACGTCTTTTAACATGTATGTGCAGTCGAGCAGATAAACTAGACTTAGACAAACTTTATTGATCCACCATCTTTTTTTGTGCAGGTGAAAGCACGCTGCTGGAGAGGCTAAGGTCAGTGGTGATTAGAGCTATAACTAACGATTATTTTGTAATCAATTAATCTATCGATTATTTTTACGATTAATCGAGTAATTGCTTGGCTGTGAATTGTGTAGAAAAAAAATATTTTTTCATCACAAAAAGCTAAAGTGGCAACACTCGAGGACGTATTGATGGCATAAACTTAAAGTAAATGTTTGTAACAGGCTCTTTGTGCTAATTCTGCTCTGATTGGATGAGACAGACAGATATTCATGAAATTATAAAAACAAAATCGGTTTTAATCAAAAATACTACATTTTCATGTCATTTTTGCTCGGTTTGAGTCCGTGTGAACCAGAAAACAATTAATCGATTACTAAAATAGTTGTCGACTATTTCAATAATCGATTAGTCGTCGATTAATCGATTATTTGTTTCAGCCCTAGTGGTGATGGTCATCTGCCCCTTATGGACCAATGTGTTTATTATTGTGTATGATTCTCTGATCTGTGTTGCCGAATCAACAACTTTGTTAGGACCTCTGAGATGACTGAGGCAGTTGTAATTCAGGCTACACAAAAATATATTGAATTGAATGACAAATTAAAATAACAAAGGGTTTAAAGAGTCACCCATAGTGTTAGCCTTAAAGTGGAAGAGGCCGAATAGCGCTAGCTTGAACAATACAAACACCAGGATCACAGAGAGCGCTAAACCACAGATTTTTAAGCCCAAAATGATGAATGTGACACAAACAGAGCTAGAGGATGTTACTTCTCAATGTAAGTCAATAGGACACTTGTTGAGCAGCAAGAGAATTACAACAAACTAGGTAACATGATTTGTACAATAATAATACCATAAAATACACTTCTAGGCTCATTATGAAATACTTTTTTAATTAGCATTCACATTGCATTGTTTTCATGTTGTCATTTGTCTTGTATTGCACTAATGTACAAGAGAAACACACACTTACAAACTTGTTTTACTGTTTATAGCTCATTCAAACACATCGTTCATTGTCTTTGAGGGTTTCATGGTCTTTTCATGCACAAGCGGATTGGGCTAATGCTTAATGCAAACTACAAAACAATACAAGTGAAGACATGCCTTGAATGAAGAGCACTTTCTGAAGTTCAAGGAGAGAAAAACTTGTATTTGTACGTGTTTTAGGTTCAAGGTTAAAAAAAAAAAGTTTGTGTTGTCAGACCAAATTGAATTAGATAATGGTAGAATCTTTTCCATTAGACGCAGCCACAGACAGATAGATGCAGAAGCAACAGCAGCTGCACATCTGCCTTCAGTTACAGCTGTGGTTATAGTCTGAAAAGTGAAGTGGGAAAGAGGAGGAGGAACACTGGGTCAGTTACAGAAGCCCAGACGTTCAAAGTCAATAGAAAGTCATTTTGTTGGCTTCAGAAGTGGATCATCCGGCCATGACTCAAAGAACTGGTGCTAAACATAATGCATATTGGATAAATATAGCATAAAGAATCAGCATGACAAGACACTCGTTGCCAGACTATACAGACAAACCAAGGTAGCTGAATTTGAAAGAAAGTACATTTTGCAGCACATATAGGCCACACTTGAATATAAGCCACACTTTTTTTTAATGTTGTAATGTAAATTTAACCAATAGCCGATAGATGACTGTTTTAACTGGACGCAACAATTAAAAAGTGATTGGCTGGAGATGATCAAAGCACTCTATTTTGACCATAAACGTGTGTCTCATCCCTGCTTAAACTTAAAATTCATTACAATAAGTCCATAAACTCGGGTCTCACAACAATCACATTCACTTCCTCGTGTCGGCTCTTTCTGCTGTTCACATAAACACACCAGAAGCAGGAATGTGTGCTTTGCCATCACCTCAGAGAGAGATTGACCGCTGATAGAGCCTTGTCCAAATTCAACAAAAATACATACAATGTCCACATACTGTAGATTGGATAGCTGCCTGGTTCACTGTAGTTAACAAAAAAGGTTGCGGCTTATATTCCAGTGAGTGCTGTATATGTCATCGCGTCAACGTTAAAGTAAGAGTGTAACTTTATGGAGGTGGCATTTTACATTGAATCTATGAATAGCAGATTCATAGATTCAATGGAGCAATTTTGGTTGAGAACGGAAAAGTGTTATATCCAGGCCAAGATAGTGTCAGATGTGTGAATATGCATTTATGTGTGAGTAAAAATATCAAAACAAATACATGGGTACAAAAATACAGCCCTATCCCCAATCCCAACCCTGCTACACACCATGGTGACTGGTCCTAATCCAAATCCAAGTTATGCCTCTACAATCTGGAACTGTTTTTTTCCTGAATATGTGAGACAGGCACATATTTTCCCATCAGTATATAGTGACTTTATAAACAGTGAGGGACACTTTCTGATACCTAATGATCTTACAGGGTTGTACAGGTTTGAAAGAGAGTGAGGTCTGAAGCCAGGGACAGCCAGAATTATGCTGAATTATAAACAAAATAAACGCAAAAAAAACAAAACATGGGTGTACATGTTAAGTTAGAATAGAATAGAATAAGATATGCACTGCAAAAACTTAAACAAATGTGAGGTAATAATTGCTTGAATCGAGTGGTTTTAAGATACTTTTTTGCCAATATTTGACTTTTTTCCCATCACTTTTTGCAGTGTGTAGAAGTAAAAAACAACAGAACACAAAAGGATCTGAGAGTAGCCTAGTTTCAGGTCCGGTAGCCGCTCAGTCACGGCCGCCGTCTCCTGGCTCACATATATTTACATAACTGTATTTTCCAGCTTTTATTTCAGCGTGTGCGTATGAGTGAAGCGAGATGTGGATTCCCCCCAAATCAACTTCAGAAGGCCGCGGTAACAGGAACCATTTGGGCGGCAGATGGGAGCTGTTCTGGGCTGCTCTGCGGTCGCCTTCCTCTGCTCGTGTCTTGAGGGTCTCGGGGTTTCGGTCGGGGTTTTGGGAGCGTGCTTGGTCTACGCGCGCAGACAGAGGACATGACAAAGCAACTGGCAAGCGCACAGAATACACATCGGCGGCGCATTAGCTTAGCAGGCTAGCTCCCGAATGCTGACCGCTGCAACCAGGGCCTTTTCCTGATCCGGCTGGGAGTTATGGTCCCGGCAGATGGAGAATGTCTGGACGGTTTTTTAAGGTTTTAGACAAAATAAGGTCAAATTAAGTTACGTTTTATAAATAGCCTCCGGATTTTTTCTTTTTTTTGTAGCTGTTTGAATTAAGGTTTGTTTTGGTAGTGTAATTACTCAGCTTATGTACAGTTTTGCTCTTTCAAACTTTTAGATTTTTAGGCATTTCAAGTAACAATCACAAGTTTTAGCAATTGTTAAAGTACACACTACTTCATTTAATTTTCTTAATTCCATGGATTTAAGAGGGAGCATCAAAATGACAGCTCTGGGAGTTCTAGCAGTTTCAGAATTCTGGAAGTCGAAGGTTTAAATAAAAACAGAGACAAGCACATCTGTAAGTATTGTACGGTATACAGAATATTCAGGAGTACAGTGTGTCACTCACTGGCTGCTGGGCGGCTGGCTTTTACTGTACAGGCTGATCTGGTCGTCCGCACAGTCGGCTTTAGTGAAGGACGAGATCCACTCGAACAGTCGGGCTCTGGAACAAACAGTGAACATTATTTTAGGTCCAGAACCAGGAAGTCCTCTAACACTAGTCCTGTGCTAAGGTCTTTGCACTGGCTCAGAGAATAGATGTGTACCAGTCTCTCAAGGCCTCGCACCAAAGTGGTGAGGCATGATAGTACCATATGAACTGTCTGGGACTCTGAGGAGCACAGGGACTGGACTCCTGCTGGGACTCTGAGGAGCACAGGGACTGGCCTCCTGCTGGTGCCAAGAGTCAGCACTAAACAGGGAGATTCAGATTCATGCACCATGGTACTGACCTGTCTTGCCTCTTGGGCGTGTGGCTCTGCCCGTTGGCCAGGGCGTGCAGGGGCAGATGGGCACTGGGGGTTTTGGGGAAGGCTGAGGTAGTGTTGGAGCTGGAGGTGCTTAGGTCCAGCCCTTCCGCCTGCTTCAAAGACTCTTCGGAGCTCGGGACACCAGCGACCTCCTTCCACAGCTGCTGCAGGTCCGACGGGCACATCGCTGCAGAACAAACCACAGGATATTTTATCACAACAAACTTCTCAATACTGAAGACTATCTCACATTTGAGCCTGCTATGGAGTGGTTATATAGTATACTGATATTTATTTGATATTGTAGTAAATAGGTATTTACTTGCTTCTCTTTGAAGCATTTACAGCTAGATGACTACAGCTTCTTGTATTGTATATTTTCCCAGCAGAATAAAGGTTCTCTTGTCTTAACACATTTCAGAACTTTTTATAGACTGACTTCAGGGTACTATGTTGCTTGTTTCCAAGAATGTTTAACTATAAACTTATTTGTTTGCATGTACTGTTTTTGAGTGCAAACACCCCAACAAAATGCATTCAAAATTACAGTGGTCCTTGGTTTACTGTGGCAAAAAAAAAATTACACACACTTTATACACTTTTCTAACCTGGACTCACGACTGAACGAATCACTGAGGTGCAGAGACCAGAGTGCGACTGGTGAGAGAGACCAGAGAGAGACCGGTGAGAGAGACCAGCGAGAGGGACCAGAAGGACCGGTGAGAGACCGGTGAGAGAGACCAGCGAGAGAGACCAGAGAGAGACCGGTGAGAGAGACCAGTGAGAGGGACCAGAAGGACCGGTGAGAGAGACCAGCGAGAGAGACCAGAGAGAGACTGGTGAGAGAGACCAGCGAGAGGGACCAGAAGGACCGGTGAGAGAGACCGGTGAGAGAGACCAGCGAGAGAGACCAGAGAGAGACTGGTGAGAGAGACCAGCGAGAGGGACCAGAAGGACCGGTGAGAGAGACCAGAGAGAGACCGTGAGATACCCCAGCGAGAGAGACCAGCGAGAGAGACCAGTGAGAGAGACCAGAGAGAGAGACCAGAGAGGGAGCCACAAAAGCTTTTATGACCTGAGATAACTGAAGATAACTGTCCAGGTACTAGCGGTTATGTGATGTTGTATATGATGTAGTCGGCGGATACACATGGCGCATGGAAAGCAGTAAATTTCACAAACACAAATCTGAGAAACAGCGAGGCCACAAAAGGTGAACCGCTTCATAGTGAGAGACCACTGTGATCCAAAACTAAAAACATGTCCTTTTGATTGAGTCATTAACCTATTCACCAGCACATATTGACAAGTCCCTGACACTCTATCACACAATCAATCGTTTTAAAACAAACTATTTACCAAATCCAAGCAGACTCTGGCATTAAAACAATCCTTGACACCTTTTAGTGCTCACAATTATTATTTCTTCTCCCATTCCAGTGGTCCGCAGCCAGTTCCAATAGACCTTCACACACAGGCGCATTGAGAGACCTTCCAGCAATCTAAATATTATGTCTGCTTTGTCTGCGTTCCTGGGCTGTCCCGCCAAAATAAAAGTTTTCTCTGAGGAGGGATAAGGTGCTGCGTGCTTACACTGTGCCACATGTGTGTTTATGTTTGTCCATTATCCAAGAAACTCAGCCGAATTTTCCGAGCACGCCCAGAACCGAGGAGAACGAGAGCAGTGTTGGAGAGATTCTGAGATAAAGGCTTTCCTGCTCTTGCTTCCAGCCATTTGAAAACATTTGAGTGAAATAAAACGGAACGACAAACCAATGACAATTCCAGAATCAGACCCGCACTGACAACCTCTGGCATGTCTTAAAATCGATTTTAGATTTTTCTCAGTCATTTCCACATGTAGCATTTGTAGTGGGATGTGATGGTGTGAGTTTAGGCTCATACTGTAATAATAACTCATTTTGTATCACTTTACAACATTATTGTGATATTTTTTAAAGCTACTATATGCCATAGATGCAGAACGATACGGCAGATTTTAAAACAACATTGTTAGGCATTGAATCATGTTGTGTCCAGTTAAAACAGTCAATAAATTATTATCTATCAGCTTGTTTTGTTCTACATATTGGCTGTTATATTTAAGTGTAGCCCATACTGTATGTGAGGAAAATTTGCTTAATTTTTGAACTTAGCTGGTGCGGGTATTGTAAATTCTCATTCCAGCACAGGTCTGGTATCTCTGTGGTGGTACTAGTCCTGTTTTTATTATCACTGATGTTGAAATTGCAGCAAAGTAAATACACAGACACATACACAGTCGCTAAAGTCTACCCAGTTACAACCTTGCATAACTTCTGCTCACCTGGCTCAAAGTAAAAGAGCATTTGTGAAGTGTTTTTCAAAGTATTCTTTTAGTTTTTCAGACAATCTGCGGTTCTCTCTGATACTGTGACTGTATCGTACGCCGTCAGACAAGCCGTATATATCACGTTACATTTAAGATTTGACTCCCGAGGCTTTCACAGTAAAATACATCTGTTTGTATAGGAGCAACTACTGTAAAGTATTGTGCGTTTGGTGGAATACTGTAGCGACGTCGGGTTTTAGGACATTTCCCAGTCTTTGCCACAGAGCGAGGCCATTAAAGGCGCTGGTCTTCTCCTGTCTGTTCCTTTGTTGGGTCTGTCCAGTGCACAGTGGAATTCCCCTCAGTCTGAGAGCTGCTCCTTTGTGACGACTCGATGAGGCGTGAGCTGCAGCATTCCTCTGCCGCCCGGCCTCAGCGCGCACACACACACACATGCACTAATAAACACACACATGCACCAATACACACACACACATCCACTAAAACATACACAAACACACATATTCACTAATACACGCATACACAAATGCACTAATATGCACACACGCACTAATACACACACATGCATGCAGTAATACACATATACACGCACACACCCATGCACTAATACACACACATACACACACGTGCACTAATACACGTACACACACATGCACTAATCCATGCACACACCCACACACACACACACACTCACTTACACACACATTCTCACACATGCACTAATACACACATCCACACACAGATGTCGTGGTTCAAAAGGATGTAGGGAGGTGCAGGCTCGTACTGGGCAGAGGTGGTGGTGATTTCCAAACTTCAAATTAAAACATTTGCTGAATAAAGTCAGTGCATTGCAGACCTTTCTACTGTAATTAAAGCGGAAAATTAGATAGGGTTTGTTAGAGGATTTTGTTTCAAACTTGAACATGAACTCAAGTATAATCGCAAACAAGACTAAATCACAACTTGACAAGTGGTAATTGGGACTTGTCCAGGGGCCGACAACCCACATTATTTTTTAATGACGGGCTGTTTTGAGCTTTGAAATGTGACTGGGATGAAGTTGGCTGAGTGATAAATGGTTAAAAAACGTTTTAACCAAACACATAGCGCCGTGCTAAATGTTGTGCCACAATCACAGATAAATGCCGGCATATTCAAACAAAATTCTGTTTCTGAGCTTGAAGTTGGCTGGTTGACATTTTTGGACAGTGGTCATCCTACTCCCTATTGACCAACTGTTCCAACTAAATTTCTGTGTTCCTCCGGTTGTGATTCAGGACTTTACAAAAATAAATTGAATTGAATGATTTTAAAGCGAAACTTTTTACTAAACTTTGCTTAAATTGATTTGACTTGATTGAAATAAAGAACAAAATCCCATAAGTCATTTTAAACCATCCCCAAATCCTTTTTCTACAGCGTCGTAAACGCAGCCACACCACCAGGGCTTAAAAGTTCTCCTTGAATGGAACAAAATGGCGTAATATTATTGGAGTTTACAGTTTGTAGGCACGGTACAGTCCAGTGAGCGCAGAGGAAGTGCCATGTTACGGATGTGTGCAAGCCCCTAAAGCTGTTTCTCTGTGTGCGGCTAATTCTCCACAGCCACACCCACGTCGGCGAGGCGGGCAAAAGTCAACATTTATTGTTCTAACGTGCCCCAAATGAAACACACCGTGCATGAAGCGGCTGCAAAAAAAAAACAAAAAAAACCTGCTATGCACATGGGCCAACTGTAAAACAATGACGTCCAAGTGATCTGGCTAATCGCAGAACGCAACACACACAAACGCGCACACCTGCACCGCGCCGGCAAAGCAAGGGGAGCTGCAGACCAGATTTTACCTATTATCCAAATGACTGCCTTCCACAAAGCCAACAATCACGGGCGCTTTTATCTTTTATAGGATGATTAAGTTAACAGGCTTCACATGTGGCAGTGGCACAGGCGTATACAGAGTGTGTGTGTGTGTGTGTGTGTGTGTGTGTGTGTGTGTGTGTGTGTGCGTGAGTGTGTGCGTGGGTGCGGGGTGTGCCATATCGGACATGACTGTGCTGTGCTGCTGCTGTTCCTGGAGGAATCACTTAAAAGATCAATTTAGGAGGTTAAATCTGAAGTCTGGATTATTTAATACAGGCCTCAAACAGGTTCTTCTACTTTCTGCATGAAACGATGAAGTGAGAGGTATGATCGCCCCGCGGCTTCAACACCTCTGCTGCTGTGACCTTAAGTTCTGTTGCACTTCATTATTATCTTTAACTGTAAGAATTACCTATTCTTAAACAAACATCTCATTATGTAGATGAATGTGTTTCTGCTTATTGACACCTGAAATTCACCTGGATTGGGGATAAATAAAGCATCTATCCATTTGTCGTCCTCGTAAGAGTTGAGCCATATCGGTGGTAGTAACATAAACTTTTAAATGTATAACTCTGAGAATGACTAGGGATGCTTAGGTTAACAACAGAACGGAGAAGTCCAGAGAGGATCTCTCCATAAGTACAGCGTACAGTTGTCCCTTGCTAAAACGTGGTTCACCTTTCGCGGCCTGGCCAATCCTTTTTACGGCGTGCTTCTCGTGTGCTGTGTGTTTACTCCAACAACATCATAACAGCTTTTATAATATGACAGTTATCTTTATTTAATCTTTTGTGACTTTCAGAGGACTTCTATGGTCTCCCTGTACCCCTCAGTCCTGCTCCTACCTCTCAGCGCGGTGTCCTCTGCAGCTTTGTTTTACAGCGTATGCATTGCACGGCTTTTGACAGCTGCAGCAGCGCTCAGACCTACAACCAACAGGTTTTATATCTCTGCGACCGCACTTCAGCAGTTGTGAGTTCAGGTGGTTCGACATGTGTATAACGTGTGTCTGACGAGTTTTACAGGAGAAGGATTTCACTCAATGCAAGACATTTTTGGAAGAAAACCCCTGAGATAAACGAGGGACCACTGTAATCAGAAGTGACCAGGATTGTACGTAGAAGTTCTGCAACCTCCTCAACAGACTTCATGCATTTGGATTGGTTCAAATGTCCTCTATTTTAGAGCTATGTAAATTGGATCCTTTCCTTATGGGATAAAAAGTTCCCAGGTCATGTCACTAAAGTTAAATGTATTGGCTGCATTTCAGACTCACCTTGCTGAAGTGAATTCCTTTGGGTATATTACAGTGTATGCGTATGTGTGTGTGTGTGTGTGTGCGTGTGTGTGCGTGCGTGTGTGTGTGTGTGTGCGTGTGTGTGCGTGCGTGTGTATGCGTGTGTGTGTGTGTGTGTGTGTGTGCGTGTGTGTGTGTACACTGATGCCTACATTGGCCCTATGCTGCTGTCTGGAGTTGGGCTCACCTTGTTGGAGTGACTGCATGGCGGCGGTGGGCTGCATCGGCACCAGGCCTTGTCTCTGGAGGTTGAGGAGGTGCTGCTGCTGAAGCTGCTGCATCTGGATGAGCTGCTGTTGGAAGGCCAGCTGTTTACTGCCCAGAGGCTAAAACAAACACACACAAAGACGCCAAATTAGCCAATCATGCGTCTATTTTATACACAGAGGTGGAGATTAGATTCACTTCACTGCAAAAAACAAGAAGTCTAGAAAATGCATGATTTTTATTCAAAAATATTAATATTGTCTTGTTTTAAAATGCTTTTTGTGGTTCTTTTGAAAGACAAGTTAACAAGGTAATAAATCTAATTTGTCTTTCAAAAGAACCACAAAAAGCATGCATGATTTTGGCTGATTCTATTTTGATCTGAGTATATTTTGACTGTTTTAAAGTAAGATTTGCCATTGAAACAAGCATGAAGGTAGGTGTATTAAGGCTGTAGTAAAACGCAAGTGTGTAACTATAGTTCCTGGCTCTAAAACTATTTGGTTATATCACATTGGCCTCCGTCACATCTTTTGATCAGCTTTTTCAGAGTGAAAAAGACAGGACCACCCTCACTCAGCCAATACACTCTCATAAATAAAATTGTGACTCACAGAGTACCTTAATACATTTGTAAAAGATAATATGTTTGCTAATACAATGAATAAGGTAGTTTATGGTCTCAATTGTTCATAAAATTTTACTTTTACAAAAACATATATTATTTGGGGTCTTTAGATTCAAATCAATGACATTGACATTCTATAATCACAAAACATTCACAAAAGTGCATACACTTTACCAATGGCTTTTAATGTGCTTTGTAAACCAGATTTGAGGCAAGAATGAGGCACTGGGAATGTGAACGAAGCTGTTACTTTTAACGCAGTCCAAAGTAACATTTGGCCTTTCAGTCATTCTCGCATTTGTTTCCTATGACTGCAATAATGTTACGCAATTCAAAGAAGGGGATGCCTTCAGTGCAATCAAAATCTATGCCACTTGTTCTGGTTCACTTCTCGGGAGCCAGTGGCCGCAATAGCTGTCTTATCCCGGGCATCTCAACCCCGCCGAGTCTGGCCTAGTTGTCTGTCTCGTAGCTTGCGCGCGCCTACCCCAGTGGATGTATGTGTGTGTGTGTGTGTGTGTGTGTGTGTGTGCTGTTTACATTAGGCAGGGCTGAGTGGCTAAAGCTAGCGCAGTAACAGGCTGTCAGTGTGATTTATGGGCCCATCACGCAGTGTCTGAGGCTGCCACTCAAAGCCTCCTCCGACGAACGGTCACTTGTGCGCCGCGACGACACCCGCCACTTCATTAAGCCCTCGCCAAATCGGCACATGGGAGACGAGTCCGAAATGTGCGAAAGTTGAAAGTTGTTAGATTTGGGAAAATAATGGTTATAATAATAATAATAATAATTAAAGTCTGTAAGATAGAAACTCTGAGACGCTTCACATGTTATTATTCATTCTTTCTATACTCGGTGCGACTATTGTAGCCACAGCTGCCCTAGGGCACACTGTTGATGATCTAAGTGCTCTGGTAAATCCGATCTATTTTGACGACAAAAAAATCCATAAGTCCATAAACATCGACTATTGCCCTAAGTCCTGTGTATTTCCCTGCATGTCCTACTGCTCACATAAACACACTTACGCAGGAATGTTTGCTGAATTTAATGCAATCATATTCCTTCCGCACCCTGGGACAAAATAGAAATACATAGATTTGTCGAATTGCTATCACATAAAGAAAACACTAAACAGTATGCTAAAGAAGCCATCTTTTTCCATCTTTGGGATTTTATATTGACTTTATTTTTACCCAAAAACTATATAGCATTTTTTTTTGCCCCCAGGGCTTTTACTCTAAACTTTGGAACAAACTTTTATTTGACACATACAAACACTGGAAGTCTCACCATCTCCTCTCTCTCTTTCTAAGCATCTGACTTTGGCGCATAGCTCAGAAAAAAATAAAAAACTCACAGAAAACCCTTTATTTCATCAACGTTTTCTTGGGCTACTGTGTTTAAAACCTCGGCGAAGGCCCTCGGTGACTCCTCAACAGAACAAAACAACATTAGAATAGCCGTCATGTCGGGCTTTCATTCTGACATATGTATTACACAGCCTCGCGCGTCAACTGCTGCTCAGCCAGGTACGTCTAAGCACCGCGCTATTGACAAGCGAGCCGCACGGGACGCTTCTCTCGGGGCCTTAGTCATATCAGCTGTTTGGAAAAGCCATATTCCTGTTTGTGCGCTCGAGCGTGGCCACATCAAAAGTCCACCCCTACCTCCCTCAATCCCTCCCTCCCCTTTCTCTGGGTGCCACCGATGTTTGCACTTGTCGAAATGTGGCAAGACAACCAACCTGAAATGTAGGACAGACACGCAAGAGGCGAGAGAGAGAGAGAAAAAAGAGAGAGCGAGCAACATGCGTGTCAAAACCCCGCGACTGGTTTGCTTTGGTCACGGCCGAGAGGAGAGGGCAGGAGAGAGGGAAGCGTCTGGGGGGGTTGGGAGGTTGGGAGGCAGGGAGGGAAGGAAGGAAGGCAGCCCACTGGGACGAACGGGAGATCAAGAGAAAATAGTGGAAATTTAAGGATGTGTCTCTTCAAGTGGTTATCGCTATTGGCAGAGGGGCGTGAGGGGGTTCTTGGCCACGTGTGAAAGGCAACGGTGGGAATAGATGAGATAAACCAGGACTTTCGGTGGAGTTGCGCACAATGGGAGTGGGACCAGTGCTGATAGTGGGAGTGGCAGTAGTGGTACAAGTGGTATGTTAGTGTTGTTAGCGCTTCAAAGGTTGTCAGATTATCACGGGCAAAAACTGTGAAGGTTGATGCAATTGTGAGAGTTTTAGAGAAATTCTAGAGAGAGAATTCTGGTTAATTAAGTTATGATAGTGTTGATGGTATCATTTTGTTTATTTGCATTAAATAGCAGTATAAGAAAAACTATGTATGATTCTTACTACACCTTTCTCCATTCTCTACTTCTCTACGTTTGCACCGAGAGCCAAAGCAATTCCCCAATCTGTGCCCTCTCTTTCTTACATAGCAATAACAATTATACTGATTCTGAGTTAGCACAGTAGTAGTAGTAGTAGTAGTATTGCAAAAGATGACAGAATTAAAGCCAAAAAATGCTAAAATTTGGCTAAACGTATCTAAATTTGAGCACATTTTGACTGCCTTAAAACAAGATTTGCCAGTGGAACAAGAAAAATTGTCTTGTTTTGAAAAGATACAAGATATGTTTCTCTTGGAATGAGAAAATAAAGCAATAGTTCTTGAATCAAGTCAAAATTGCTTGTCTCATTGGCAAATCTCATTTTAAGACAGTCAGAATGAACTTAAGTCAAGTTAAAAAAACTCGATTCTAGCAATTATGATCTCATATTTGATCATTTTTTGCAGTAGTAATAGAAGTAGGTAGTAGCAATAGAAGTACAAGTACACAATGTTCAGTATAGTAGTAGTTGTCTTAGTCATAGTAGTAGTAAAAGTAGTAGAAGTATGTAGTAGCAATAAAAGTACTAGTATCTGCAGTATAGTAGTAATAGTAGTATGTATAGTCGTAGTAGCAGTAGTAGTAGAAGTAGGTAGTAGCAATTAAAGTACTAGTACACAATCTGCAGTTTATGAGTAGAAGTATGTAGCAGCAATAGAAGAACAAGTACACAATCTGCAGGATACTATTAGTAGTAATCACAGTCATAGTAGTAGTAGTAGTAGTAGAAAAAAGTAGCATCAGAAGTACAAGTACACAATCTGTAAAAAGTAGAAATTAGCAGCTGCCAAAATAATGTTTACTTATTTTCTGAGTTAGCACAGTAGTTGTAGTAGTAGCAGTAGTAGTAGAAGTAGATAGTAGCAATAGAAGTGCAAGTACACAATCTGCAGTATAGTAGTAATAGTCATAGTCATAGTAGTAGTAGGTAGTAGCAATAGAAGTACACGTACACAAAAAGTAGAAAATAGTAGCTGCCAAAATAATGTTTACTTTGATACTTGTTTCAGCGCTGTGGTGGAGCCCCCTGTGGTGAGGCGGTGACAGTAATCTGCTCTGATTGATGGGGCTGGTCTTAGGGCTGTGATGGGATCTTGGTTTATCCATAGTATCCCACATAATATACTGTTGAACTAATGCTTCGATCTGCGTATGAAAGACACGGGTTAGTAGAACGAAAGACAAGGAAAGGGGAAGGCCAAAAAACAGGCCAGAAGAAGATACAGAGATCAGTGTGTTGGGGAGAAGGATTAGAAGTCCATTGCGAAGAGTAAATGCTAGACTGTTAGGTGTTGCTTTATAGTCACTCCATGGCCTTGCACCAAAGTACATCTGTGACATGTTAGTGCCATATAAAATAACTCAGACTCGGTGGAGCACAGGGACTGGCCTCCTGCTGGTGCCCAGAGTCGAGACTAAACAAGAGGAGGCAGCGTTTCAGATTTATGCAGCTAAAACAGTCTTAATGAAAATGTGAGAGATACTTCTACTCTGACAATGTTCAAATCTGTTCTGTCTAGCTGTGGATACATCTGAAGGATTTAATTCTCAATCTTCTTTATGTGTTGTAATGTATTTATGATTAGAATGCCTTGTGTGATTTTGATGCCTATTTTGTTGTCTTGCCTTGTGAAAAAACTGTACAATACAAATAAACTAGCCTTGTCTTTACAAACCACATCGGCTAAAATTGACAAAAAAGTCCAATTTGTCCACATATATGCCGCACCTGAATATAGGCCGCGGGTCTTTAAGTTGTACTGCAAGACTGATAGACGGTGAATAAAAACAAACCCGATAGACTGTAGCTTTTACTGGACACCACATGATTTAATGATGAGGTGTTTTAATGTACGCTTCTATGACTCGTTTACCAATCACAGCCCACCTCTAGCACAATATAAGTACATTTGAGAGAAATTGGAAAAAGTAGTGGCTCATAGTCAAGCTTTTTCTATGGTTATATTTGCGTAGGATGAAAGTTTTAAGAAGCTTGACATTTGGACTCATCTCAATGGTAACAAACTGTCCTGATAACAAGTACTTTTGAACCTTTTTTCATGGTTATATGTTGTAACTTTAGAAGAATTTTAACGCTGCACATTGAGCACCAGTTTCATCCAAGTAATACTTACAGCCTGTATTCAAAATTTGGTTAATTATGTCGAAAAGGCTTTTTCATGAGCCGTGCTAGTTGGAGTGAACAAATATGGGATTGCAGAAGTTTACAGCCACTTAGAGCTGCCATTAAATTGAATATTACTTTAGGATGTCAATGTATTTTCTCTAATGTATGTGAGTGGTCCCAGATGCACAGGGATCACAGACTGAAGCACGGCATGTCTGAGGACCCTTGAGTGGATCGTGAGTGGGCCGTGTGTGTGTAGGCCTGTCGCGATAGTCAATAAATCAATTAATCGCACGATAAATAAAATTTGCTCAATAACTTTTCTGGCCGCGATAAATCCCATTTGCATGCTCATTTGTTTTCCCCGTCTCTCTCCCCCCCTCTCTCTCGGGTCAGAGAGCCGCAAAGTCTCGCTCTCGGGTCAGAGAGCCGCAAAGTGGCCACTGGAACACTAGCGGTCTAGCAAGCAGACGGAAATTACTCAAAAATACAAAATACAGCCAAAACAGGACCTAAACCAGGACTTAACCAGGATTGACAATGGGGGACACAGTAGTTGTGAACATATGCCGGCAGCTGAGCTCTCATTCAGGCTTGATTAGTGACTATACTAGCACAGCTAGCGTTAGCGTGTTTGCCGATGCAGAAGTACCGTACCGTACCAATAAAATAAACTTATGGCGCACCTCCGTGAACACGTACTGCTGTTATATAAGGTCTCTAGAAGGTCTCTGAACACAGAGATGCTGCAGACTTGCATTCTTGGAGTAGAACTTTACACAAAAAACCCGCTAGCTTAGCTGTTAGCATCAAAGCCCGCCCCGCTACTTCCGGTGGGCGCTACCGCAGCAGGACTTCTGTACGCCCCATTGGTGAACCCACATGTCAGTCACTTGTCATTCGCCTGGTGTGTGGGGAGGTGGGACTACTGGCGTAGCCCACAGAGTGCAGCTGAGGAGCCGCAAGAGAAGTTTACCGGTAGGCACTACGCAGAGAGAAAGCGGTAGGCACTACGCAGAGAGAAAGCGGTAGGCACTACGCAGAGAGAAAGCTAGTTGCGAGTGCGGGACAAAACGATGGAATTGGTTTCCAAGCCAAACGCGACAGCTGCAGTGTGGGAGCATTTCGGATTTAAACCGAATGCCCGTGGTGAACCACTGAACATGTGCGAGTCGGTGTGTCGCATTTGTTGGAAAACAGTAGCAGTTAAAAGCGGCAACACAACAAACTTACATATGCATCTACAACACAATCAGTTTATTGTGTTCTACCGTTAAATATTCGTTAAAAATAAAAGTTTATTTCTCTTTGAAAAGGTGTACCTGCATTATCATTGTAATCGATGATCTCAGAACGACAATATAATCGCTTATCGCAATAATTTCTGAGACAATTAATCGTCCAGCAAAATTTGTTATCGTGACAGGCCTATGTGTGTGTGTGTGTGTGTGTGTGTGTGTGTGTGTGTGTGTGTGTGTGCGTGTGTGTGTGTAGACGCTCACCTCTTTGGGGGACTGTTTGACCTGCTGCTGCTGTTGCTGCTGTTGCTGCTGCTGCTGCTGTTGTTGTTGTTGTTGTTGGGACAAAAGTTGGAGGTGCAACTGCTCCTGCTGCTTCTTGTAGTACTCCTGCAACTGCAAAGAGGAGCAGCTTTAGAACAGGGACTAGGCAATGTAGATTCAAGGGATAGCAATGTCAAGAGAATGTATGGGAGAGGTGTGGTACTGGGTATAATCTCTCATATATTTCAGCAAAATATTAAGATTAAGATATTCTTTATTCATCCCACAGTGGGGAAATTTCAGCTTTGCTTTAAAAAGGTTGGCGACACCTGTATTAGACATTGGGGTAGAAGTGTCTTGCCTAAGGACACGACAGCGGCTTCCAGACAGCCACAGAGTATATCCAACAGTCTCTCATCACTGTACTAACCAGACTCTGCACTGCTTCGCTTCTATAACAGAGAATATGGTGGTAAATGTACAGTTTTAGACATAAGTTAAATTCCGTCTGCTTGAATAATGTTTGTTGGCAGCATCTGCTTTGCTATAATGGAATAGTCTTCATCAACATTGGACCCGCACTTGGATCTGGAGAAGATCAGATATTCTTTACAAAGTCGTGAAGATACATTTACCAGGACATGGGTATCCTTTATTAGTCTGTTTAAAATGGAAACTTGAGCTACATTTATTTTTATTTTTATTGTAATTGTATGTCCACATTAATTGTCTGCATTTTTTCTCATTATAGTCTGTGTGAATGTTAATTTCTGGGGTTTTTTCTCTGTATAACGTAGCATATATATACATCTAATAAAGTGCATTTAAGTGTTCTGCACTTTCTGTTGGATTGCCAAACTGTATACATTTATGAAAACCCAATAAACAGAATGTTAATTAAACAAAACAAAAAACATTGGACCCTGCCTAAGCTACAGTAGGTCAAAACCATTTGACGAAAGATTATTGTATATATATTTTGATGTTAGGAAGATGAGATGTGGGCGGGTCCAGATTGTTTGCAAGAGAAAGTGAGTTAGAATAGGATTTTTAGAATAAATTTGGCTTTGCCCAAACACATGTGGATTTTAATGTTAAATCAGGTGTACAGTATATCTTATGACGGGTGCCGTGCTCTAAAGGCTCTGGAGACTCTAACTCTAACAAAAGACATGACTTTAAAGGAGAACAAGCAACAAGCATCATTCGGTCCACTACAGAAATGCGAAACTCCCGCCTGTTGATAATTTCCCTCTCGACTAACTGTATGCACATATATAATTTATGACTTACAGTTAATGAACAACAAATTAAACATGTAGAATTTAGCATAACAGCCGCACACATCCTGATAATTCTCTGTAACACACACACACACATACACACAGAGACACACACACACACACAGATGGAGCGTGGAGTCTCCAGTGGCCGGCCGAGCTGCTGTTTGTTTGACTTAGTAATTATTCATTTACTCAAGAAGCCATTAAGATTATGATCTGAGGAGATTGGAGAGAACAGAGGAGGAAGTCTGCAAAGCGTGTGTCGAGTTTGTGTGTGTGGTCAATGTCCCTCTGCACTCGGAAACAGTCAATGGACCTTTTAGCAACAAAACAAAAACATGCTCCAGTCTAAACAGTAAATACTTTTGGTCTGGACTTTGTAAACATCGGTCTTTCTATATGACAAACTTGAAATATGAAGAGTGGGGTTAGGGATATGTGGTTGACCGGTGGTGAAATAACACATGATTTAAGTGGACATCATTCATTCAATTCAATGTATTTTTGTATAGTCCTCAATCTCGGAGGACTTTACAAAGTTGATCAAAGAATCAAACAGTTCTAACAAAGGAAATGCAATGATAACAAACACAAAGAGGCATTGGTCCATAAAGGGCAGATGACCAATGTCCATAAATGTTGATAAATGTCCATACATTTTGTTGAATGTCGAGAGTCCTGAATCATCACCGCTGTCCCTGCATCAGCACGGAAAAACTCTAAAAACCCAGTGGGAGAAAAGTGCAAAACCTTTGGGGAAGGCCACATTGAGGTTCCCATGGACAGACGAGCTATACGTAGATCCAGGACTCATTTATGAACATTGGTCATCTGCCCCTTATGGACCAATGGCTCTCTGTGTTTTGGGCGGCACGGTGGCTGAGTGGACCAGGGCCTTTCCTACGGGCGCTCCGGTTTCCCCTACCACAAAAAACACGTACAATAGGTCTGGCATGCGCCTCCTGTACTGGCGACCCCGAGACAAATGGCCAAAAATAACAATTGTAAACCGCTTTGTGACTCTGATCTGTGAAAGGCGGTATATAAATACAGATTATAACTACTTCTACTACTACTTACTACTTTTGTTTATCGTTGCGTTTCCTCTGTTTGATTCTCTGATCTGGGTTGGCAAATTAATAGCTTTGTAAAGTCCTCCGAGATAACTACTGTTGTTGCTACTTTGCGGAATGTGTTCATTGTGGGTCATTTTTAGAACACATCACCCCTGCAGTAAACAAGGAACCACTGTATTCAAACCGATAGAATATTCGACACAGGCAAAAACATCAATCACGGCTGTATGAAATTTTCGCAATGTGGAAATTTCCAAATGAATGAAAAAATTTAAACGTGACCCTGGAGTTGCCGTAAAACACTTAACCCAATGCATACGACTTCCTGTCCACACAGTGTGACCATTTTAACCACATAAACTCAATCGGCAGCCACTTGTCTCATTCTCTGCTGTTCGTTCTTGCACCAATGAATTATTTTAAACGCTCTGCTCTTGCTTCTGTCTACTCCTCCATCTGCCTTTTTCTTTTATAGCTCCTAAGGCGGGGCTCTAAACCACTCTTTTCCGCGTGGCTTCTCCCCATCACAGCCAAATGCATATGCAAGCAGACACGCGCGCACACACTTAGCCCATAATTACCTGATAATTAAGTTTTTTTGTAATGATTTGATTCAGTGGCTGTGTGCATTAAGAGTTGGCAAATGCACTCACCTCTCGAGCCCATTACGGCGACCTTGACTGTAGCGTTAGAGCTGCTGAAAAGAAGCGGCTACGACGGATACGCAAAGGTTAGCGAGCAGCTTCGAAAAACGCAATCCTCGGCCATCAGGGCCAATTTATGAGGTACACGTAGGCCGCATGGCTAACGTAGGATTGTAGACCTCCTCAGAGCCAACCATAGACTGTATAGAGATGGACAGTGCTAACCTGCTAGCTCGATGAAGCCCAATAAGGAAGTGCTCATGAACAGAGTTTTGGCTCCAACTCTCTCTGGCTCCTATTGACTCACATGTAATAAGTAAACTCCTCTCTCTGAGTGAACGTTTGCGTCACACTCACCAATTTGCACTTTAAAATTCTGGGGTGAAGCGCTCTCTGTGACTTTGACCTTTATAATGTAATACTCTTTTTACAAATCCAATAAATTCACAGCACTTTCAGATACAACAATATATATGAAATAAAACAACTAATAATAAAAATATAAATGTATAAAAACAGTGACCTTTTTTAGACAACCTATCCAAGTAATATTAAAATATTTTATGATATCTGGGTTATACTAGCACACTTAGGCAGCAAGGTGGCTGAGTGGTTATCACTTTGGCTTCTCAGGAAGAAAGTTGTGGGTTCAAATCCGGTCTTTTTGAGTCAAATAAAACAGAAATCTTCGAGGTGAACATCAATATCTGGAGATGGGTCCCAGGTGCTGTAGTAGGGACCCCATAAGTATAAAAAGTATGAATTAAAAAGACTTACGAGTTGCAAAATATTTGACATTAAAACCTACCAATTGTCATTTTTTAGTTTTACCCCTTACTCCTGACCGGCCCTTGACTCAGGTCGGCCCCTGGGTATGGACTACAGACCTTGGCGGACCCTCGTAAGGACCGGCTGAGTGAGATGTTGCAGTGGTCTTGGTTTAAGTGTCGGGTGTGTGTGGATAAAAGTCGCTGATGAGCACATAAGAGAGCACCCAGAGAGCACCCAGAGAGAGCCCAGCCGCTGCTTCATTAAGTGGCAGAGTGTGGTGTTCAACTGGGTGGGTTTAATAGCAGCCGATATATATGGAAGAGATGGAGAGACGCAGGGACGCAGGGGAGAAAAGGGATAGAGAGAGTATTCAACCCTCATTTAGCTCATCAAGAGAAGGAAGTCTTTTGATTTCATATCCACAGAAGCAAACCGCCACTGTCAATATGTCATTATCAGGCCACTGTTTGTCTAAAACGTATGAACAAATAATAAACAGACGGTGAGAAAAAGAAGACATGTTGAATCCTGTGTCCTGTTTTACATACATCGATGATAAAAACGCATATGGAAGAAATTATAGAAATATATCGGATCGTTAACACAGACATAAGAAATGACTCATTTTGAAATCCTGATTTTCTAAAAAGTTGCTTCGTTATTTCATGCATTATTCAGTCACTTCCCTATTGTGTAACGATGTAGCCACAGCTGCCCTGGGACAGACTGAAATGAGAGAGACCAAGCCCAGACTACTACTGCTACTGCTGTTGCTAAAAGTACTACTAGTTGCTACTACAGCTACTCCTACTACTACTACTACTACCACTACTACTAATATTACTTCTACTGCTACAGCTACTACTACTGCTACTACAACAACTGCTACTACTACTGCTACTACCACTACTACTTCTACTACTGCTACTACTACTACTACTACTACTGCCACTACTACTACAACTACTACAGTTACTACCACTAATGCTACAGCTACTACTACTACTACCACTACTACAACTACTACTACTGCTGCTACTACAACTGCTACAGCTACTACTACTACTGCTACTACTAATATTTTACTACTACTACTACAACTGCTACAGAAACTACTACTACTACTACAAATACCACTACTACTATAACTACTACTACTACTACTACAAATACCACTACTACTATAACTACTACTGCTGCTACAACAACCAATACTACTACTACTACTACTACTACTGCTCCTACAACTGCTACAGCTACTACTACCACTACTACTACTGCTACTGTTTAGCTTTCTCTATGGGTCATGGCATTGTAAAAAGATTCTGTACACTTATTATGGCACCGTTTGGTCTCAATAACAACATTTTATTCATTAATATACAGAATCACATCTCGCCTGTTTCGACCATGCGTGTTTATTTACTGAGACAACTCCACGTCTTCGCCGTCTATACACGCTTGTAATGGAGGCGCTTTAACATGCCTATGACTGAGTTCAAAGTTCAACCCTGTGGAATATGTGACACGTACGGGCGAAATGTTGTGTTTACGGTCGACATAGTAACCTCTCCACATTACCTAACGCCACAGACAAAGCCCCGGTGGAAAAAAATAGTGTTTTCTTAGCAGCAAAGACGAACGAAGAGGCGCGCGAGAGATGACAGTGCGTTTATGTTCAAAGAGACTCAATGAGCTCCATCACGCCCAGTGTGTCAACAGCTCTTTAAGCAGACAGCCCGAGCGGGAAGGCAGCCAACCACTCTGAGAGGACGAGGAAATCATGTCCAACGCTCGAATCAACTGGAGTTTGGATTCACTGTCAGCTGCTGGGATTCCGCTTCCCTTTGGCAAGACACCGTGGCGAGATGAGGGATCGAGGCTTCCTGATAAACTGTGACCGAAGCAAAAAGTGTTCCCCCCAATCGCCGGTTCATTTGTAAAGCACAGTTCATACACAAGGCAACTTAAAGCAAGATAGAGACAGAAACACAATGCATAAACATCATAAATAAGTTGTAGGCACAGCTAAACAGAGCTGTTTTTAACCTGGATTTTTACATTGTCAGAGTAGAAGCCTGTCTCACAATTTCAGGAAGACTGTTCCAGATTTTAGCAGCATAAATCAGAAATGTTTAGTCCTGAATCCAAGCAAGAGGCCAGTCCCTGTGCTGCGTAGAGTCCTCCTTGATTCATATGACACTAATGTAGTTTGGTGCAAGGCCGTGGAGAGACTTATACACAAGCAGATCAGCTTTAATGTCTATTCTCTGAGCCACAGGAAGCCAGCGCAGAGACCTGAGAACTGGACTAACGTGATTGTAGTCAACAATATTTGATGTATGGTGTCATGGTTTAAGTTTATTTCCTGTTTTATTTTGAAATGTGTTATCCCTGTGTCTTCTTTGGTTGTACTTCCTGTTGTCTGATTACCTGCCCCGCCCTCATCTGTCTCACCTGTGTCTCGTTAGTCTTGTATTTAGCCCTGTGTGTTCCTTCACTCCCTGTTCCGTCATTGTCATTCCCAGTCTGTTTTAGTTCTGTCCTCGTTCCCTGTGTTTTGGATTTGTTTTATCTTTTTATTAAACCATTATTTTTTGCAGTTTTGCATTTAGGGCCTCATTTGTTTTTCACCTACGTGACAGTATGGCGTATGATGCATAAGTCAAATAAAAATATTGGATTTTGTTTCTCCCAACAGAAAGACAAAACAGACCAAAGCATGTTCTCTTTTGCATTTTTGTAAGAGAGAGTATACAGTGTTCCCTCGTTGATCGCAGGGATTATGTTCTAAAAATAACCTGAAATGAATAATATCCGTGAAATGTTTTAAGGCTGTATAACTCCTCACACACACTTTATACACTGAGGGCTATGGAACGTTGTTGTAGTAGTAGGAGTATCCATGTAAAGTAGTAGTTATAGCAGCTGTAGTAGTAGTAGTAGTAGTAGTCGTGGGAGCAGTAGTCACCTGTTGCAGCATCAGTGCCTGCTGCTGCTGGAGAAGAGCCTGCAGCTGTGGCGGGGACAGGATCTGCTGCATCTGCTGAGGAGTGATCATCTGAGGACTCATCATCGCCATGGACACCGGCACCTGCACACAAAGTATTACATTATTAGCACCATCACTATAATACTGTTACAAATACAACTTACTAAGAAGAATTTTGCTAATAATTGAAAGGTTTGTTCAAAGAGAGAGTCCTGGATCTAGGCAGCGGATCCCTCTCTCAATGTGGGCCTTCACGAGGTTTTTCTTTCTAGTCGATTCAGGAGGGTCAGAGGACATGTAACTCATTGACTGCCAGCCGTTTTTGATTATTTCACTGATTCTCAAGACCCACAGAATATTATCTCCTAAGACTATGTGAAATGTCAAACCGGATTCTGAAAGACTGGATTGTCTACTTTCATCAGCAAAAATAAGTTTGTTTTTATCTATTTTTATTGTCCTGTAATCCCCAGTCGAACAGAGGGTCTCAGACAAATACGTCAATGGCAGTTAATGAGTTAAGGACATTCACAGACTTTTATTAGCATGTACGTACGGTGGCCCTCCCGCTCTTTATGGACTCCTATGTCTTTGTTATCATTTCCTGTGTTTGAACCGTTTCAGTCTTTGATTTGTTGTTGGGAAACTGACAACTTCCTCTGAGTCCTCTGCAGTTGTGATTTACGACAATACAAAAATGAATTGAATTAAATTGGAAGATAAACATTAAGTAAACTATCGGCCTTGGTTGAGGTTGGAGAAAGTTGTGTACAGCTGTACACAGTGAAACAAGCATCGTATTATTATAAGATAATAATAACACAGGAAGAATAGTGGCTTTTTTTGTAAAAAGATAAGCGCTTCCATCATAAAACAACCAAACAGAGATTGGCATGAAAAAATAGACACAAAAAAGCCACATTTCAATGCATCACATCATTCAGTCGATCAGAGAACCAGACAAAAAGCTGCACGCACATTCCCTTTTAAATATTGACACGAAACAATTCATACTATTTGATGATAAAACGTCACATTGAAAATCTTATCTGCTGCCGTAAACACTCCATTAGGTGGGCCCGCGTCCCTCTGTCTCCGGCGTCAGGCCCGGCTAAGAGCGAGCGAACAACACGACGCTATCAGATGAGATGAGCGCCGATACCGGGTGGAAAACACAAATGGGACGCTCTGCCATTGTCGTGGAAGCCGCAAATGTGATTATCAACAGAACAAGACAACACCAAACATGCAAACGGGGAAATAAAAAGCGCTAATGTGTTGATAAATACTGGCGGCATGCACCAGGGAGCAGACAGGCCACGCTTTGCATTCGTTAAAAGTAAATAAGTCAGAAAGAGGAAGATGCATTCGATGGGTTTCAGAACTGCAGCTTGGGTTGAAAAACAAGAGTGCTATTTTGGAATCCTGGAGAGATTTGGAAAAATAAAACCAGGCCATAGTCTGGTCTCCAGGCTGTTATTTTGGTGGCACGGTGAGCTGAGTGGGCAGTGCACAGGCCTCACAGCAAGAAGGTCGAAAGTTTGGAAGTTTACCAATTTCCTTTATGTTTCTGGGTGGGTTTTCTCCAGGCGCTCCTGTTTCTCCTGCCACCCAAAACATACACCACCAGTAAAATCTTCAATGGAAGGTAGTCCTGACCAGGCTGACCACCAATGCAACCACGGCTCCTGACAGGTTGCATTGGAGTGATGGGTCAAACTATCATTTTCCTTTTTATCAATAGATTTCTTATCTTGTTTTATTTTATCACAGGGAAAGGGTCACAAGTTATTAGCGATACAGGGAAAGCGGGACATCCAGAGGAAACAATATGCAAACTCCACACAGAACTTTAATGAAGAAACAAATGAAAGCAGTGCAGTGAAGGTAGGAAAAAGTTGGATTATCTACGACTTAAGCCGGTTTACACAAGGGCTAAAACACAGCACAATCTTTAATAAATCAGGGCATAATCGGTACAATAATACATGCAACTATAACTTACTCAGCACAATGGAGTATAATAGTTGTGGGCTTGATGATTTGATCTCTATGGCTGAGTGGCTGAGTGGGTAGCACTCTCGCCTCTCAGCAAGAAGGTCCTGGGTTCGAATCCCGGTCGGACCAGGGCCTTTCTGAGTGGAGTTTGCATGTTCTCCCCGTGTCTGCGTAGGTTTCCTCCGGGCACTCCGGTTTCCCCTACCACTAAAAATATGTCCAATAGTTCTGGCATGCGCCTCCTGTACTGGCGACCCCGCTCCCATCTCTGTGTGGAGTTTGAGACAAATGCCCAAAATTAACAGTTGTAAACCGCTTTGAGACTCAGATCTGCAGTGAAAAGGCGGTATATAAATAAAGATTACTACTACTACTTACTGAAAGTAAAGTAGCACCCTCCCAGGCCAAGGCGCACAGCGGTGGGTGCAGTCTCTCCATATACAGTGTGTGTGTGTGTGTGTGTGTGTGTGTGTTGGCTTGGCCTGATGCCAGCGTGCCCCCGCCGCCGGGCCTTGTCACTCCGCTCCGCCAAATGAAACGCTGTAATTAATTGCTCTTGCGCATCCCATTCTTCCCGGCTGACAACTCGAACATTCTATTTTATACACAGCGCCATTGACATTTCCAAGTCGCGGGCCCCAATAATTACCCGCACCTTTCTGCGTGTTGGCTGACTCTGCTGACACAACTGCACGGCTGCCTCTCGCGCCCGTGTTTGCTACTGCGCGCTCCAAAACGCGAATGCGCCAGAGTTGCGGTTTTGACGCCATTAATTGCCCCTATAATCTAATATCACAAAGCGCGGTGATTACGGGGCATGCGTCTGTATCGCCATACGACACTCGGCGAGCGGGGGGCGGCGGGACAAAACAAAAGCCTCGCCATTAGCGGTTTGACGGGCCGGGACAAAAGCGCCCTCACAATACCGAATTATATTTTCATCCGGCTTTGTCTCTCGTCGTGAATGATTTTTCTACCCCTTTCATTGGATTGTGAATAGGCAGAGGTCTGAAAAGCCGGGCAGTTTGAAGTCAACCATTTATTAAAAGCATTTAATTTTTTTTCTCCCTGTCGTCTCTTTTTTTATGTTGCATGTTAATTTAAAAGCGGCCGATGCGCGGTAGATTAGCGGGGAAGGTGAAGCGCGAGGCATGGGGGGGGTGGGCTGGTGGAACACTGGGTAATTATCTTAGTCAAGTATGGAGATGTGCGTACGAAGAGCATACAGGAAGTCAGGCCTGGAGGCAAGGTCGCAGCCAGAGGAGCGGCTGACTCATTACAAACGCTGTAATTAACTTTTCTCGGATAATTTCAAACGTTCTGGAGGATGGGACTGTATCGCTCAAACATATATGGACTTGTTTACTGGGAGTGTAGGGAGGTGATGTTGGCGATGGTGGCATAGCGTCAGACAGGGCTACTGCATGTTACCATACCAAAAAAATGGTATGGTAGAAAAGGTAATGGTAAAACAATGTATTTCAGAACATGTACAACACAAATCCACTCAACAAAACAACATACCTTTGTACATACATGTTTTGAAAAAGGGGTTGGATGGAAAAGGACTACTTTATGAGCCAAGAGCCAGAAAAAGCTACTTGGCAACTGTTGCTATGGCCAAAATGTAGACACAAACACCAAAACCAAAATATTTAGCAACTTAATCTAACATCCTTCTAACGGACCTTTAAAATCATACGAACTGGGAGTAAACTGATTGTGGTAGGAGCTGTGTACATGAGTTTAAACAGTATTAATTAACAGTACTATGCATTTGGATACTCACTGACCATGGTATAGTATTGTGTAATATGTCACTGAAGGACAGAAACGGCGCATTTAGCTCTGCATGGCAACACAACAGCACAGACCAATCACAAAAGTTGCACCTTTATGAGAAAAAAACATCTTTAAAATGAACCCAGTCATCTGATGCAGTATTCAAGAACATGAAATACAGCAGCATCAGTGACAGACTGATCTACCCTCGCTGTGTGAGGGAGAGGTTTTGCTTGTCTTTCCTGCCTGCTGCTGTCAGACTGTACAATGTGAGCTGCTGAGCCTGTACATCTCATCACATCAGTTACAGTGAATTCTGCAATTATGTATAATACGACAATTTCAGAATGCCTTCTCAATGTCTACAATTACACAATATTATATTTATTTTTCTAAGTATTTTTGGCTTCATAAAGTATGTACAGCTACTTTCTCTGTATATTTTGTGTGCTCTTACTACAGTCCTGTATGTGCGCTACAACACCGAACTTTACCCACTGTGGGACGAATACAGGTTTCTCTTATCTCATCCAATGATGTAAAAAATGAAAGTAACATATTCCAACGAATACCTACGCAGATCAATGTGTACAAAAATGACTCAAACCCACATAGAGTAATTATTCCAAAATCATCTCTGCTCAAATATTGCGTTTTTGCCGCGGAGCGAGAGGGGGGAGAGCGAAATGGCGTTTATACAGAAAGGAGTGGTAATTATAGGCCGGCTGTTTGAAGAGGGACTTTAACTGATTAACAAAGAGAGAGCCGTGAAAGACAGAGGATCCCAGAGGAGGAAGAGGAGGAGAGAGGATGAAGCATGCATTTCAATGAGGCCCGGAACCTCCTCGGCCCCTAGTGACTCCCCATTGTAATGAACAGGCAGCAGGGAAGCCCCACTCTCCATATGAGATGAGAGGTGGGGGGATGCGGGACCTCTCAAGTTAGCGGAGAGGCTAAACGTACACACAGAAGGCATCTCCAGTGTCAAAAAGATCACTCGTTGTGTTTTTATGATTGTATATAAACGCATGTCGAAGCACTTTGAAAAGACCTAACCTCAGACCAGAGTTTTCTTGCCTTAAAGCTGGGGTATCTAACTTTCAAAAAACAGGGAAGCATTGCACACTCAGCTCAAATGTCCAAAACCGTAAACTGTATATCCATGACATTTCGGCTTCATGGCTTCATCAAATCACGTTTTTTTCTTTTTTCTTTTGACCACAACATGCAAAGGGGTTGAAATGGTATCTAACTTTCAAACCACATAACATTTAACTGTGTCATCAAATTGAAGATTATAGATTGCCTCCTTATTAGATAGA